CCGTAAGTTAACACCTGATCGGCTGTGTGACGTCTGTGTGTTAATGTCAGCGTGCTCGCGGTTGTCTGAGCTCCATGTTCTGTAAATTTACGCTTTCACGGTTCTTTTGTTTGTTTTGTTTTCTAAACTGCAGGGATCAGGCCTGACATAGCTCCGGACACACGTCAGAGTTAGCACCTTTGTCCTGCGTGTTTCACGGTTTATACAGACTACAGGTCGGTCTACAGTAACGGAGACTTGCATCAGAACTCAGACGCTCTAAGCGTAAAAACAAGCACCAAGAGTTAAATACCTAGAGAGACTTTTTGACTCTGAACTGAACCACGCGAAAATGAGCACCAAGACCACGTCTAGCGGCTTATTAGACGCAAAACAAGGACAACAACAACAAAAAACATAGTCTCCACCAGACTTCTTTTGCAGGCTGAATAAGTTGAATAAATAGTAGAAATCGGCCTAAAAAGGGGGATATATAAATTGGCCAGAGAAGGTGGCCGACGGTCAGGAAGGATCCAAATTTTGCCTGGAAGTCGACTGGAGACTGTAAAAACAACCGTACTAAGGTGTAGAAGATGATCTTTCATGGCCTTACGAGACCGAGGAATGCCTGCTACGAGGGGTGTTCAAAAAGTTCTCGGCCTCACCTAGAAAATAAAGGTAAACTCCTATTCTTTGGTATAACTGTATACTATGACGTCTTACATCACTGCACACAAAAATTCAAATTTTTATGTTCATTAATTAGCACGTGACGCCCCATGAAAATGGGGTGGGTGAGGGCAAATCACAAAATGGCCGCAACAGAAGCGTGTGCTGTGATCAAGTGTATCGATAAAAAAGGATGTCTCCTAAGGACATCCATGAAGACATGGTCAAGACACTTGGTGATGACTCCCCTTCGTATTCAACTATAAAGAACTGGGTTACTAGCCATAAGTGCGACAAGGAGAGTACAAAAGATGAACATATGTCAGGATGCCACAAATCAGCACCACGGACAATCCAGTTGAGGCCATCCATCACACGGTAGTGAATGACAGATGTGAGACTGGCCAACATGTAGCAGGTTCTTTGGCCTGTGTTATGACTCAGTTCACAATGTTTTGGCGAACATCCTGGGGATGAACAAACTGTCTGCATGGTGGATGCCTCGAATGTTTTCTGAGCATCAGAAGTTAAACAGGCGGGACATTTCAAGGAACGAATTCAGTCCAATCCATGCAATTTCCTCAAAACATTTGTAACCCAGGATTAGCTGGGTTCACCACTTTCACCCCGAATCAAAACAGCAGAGCAAACAATCGATGAAGAATTTTTCCCGGCCCCCCAAGAAGTTTTAGCGAGTTTCATCCGTTGACAGGGGTTTTGCCTCTGTTTTCTGGGACAGTAAGGAAGTAATCATGATTGACTACATGCGAGGGGGTTAAAGCATCAATGTGGAGTACTATTCAACAGAATTGCGACAGTTGAGGACAACAGTCAAAGAGAAAAGGAGAGGAAAGCACCGAGCTGGCGTGATGAAAATGCACCTGTCCACACAGCACAGGGGTCAGCGACAGCAGCAAACGAATTTGGGTTTGCAGTCTAACCCCACCCTTCCAATTCACCTGACCTAGCACTGTCGGACTTCTACCTGTTTCCTAAACTCAAGTTCCACTTATGTGGTCAACGTTTTGATGGTAATGATGACGTCATCTATGCGGTATAGGCCAATCTTGGGGGTCCAGATACAACTTTCTTCCTCAAGAGGAAAAGAAAGCTGGAACATCACTGGACCAAGTGCATTGCAGTTAGAGAGGACTATATTAAAAAATAGTGTAAGAAAAATTTTACTGGCCTGACGTTTTCTAGGTCAGGCCGAGAACTTTTTGAACACCCCTCGTACCCTACAGTACAGTACGTGCGAATCTCAACACACAAACTTCTCCTGTGTACATACACTGAATGAACGCCTTTAACTTCCTTATACTGTTACGTCAGTGAAGGTTAGACATCCAGGTAATAACGGCTAAGATACGCCAAAAACAGTTACTCAAGCAACTGGAGATGATTTTGGAAACGGTCGGACGTTTCAGGTAGTATCCACTAGCTTTCGTCAGTGACTGAGAGACCAGAGAAAAATGAAGGTTTATAAGCACTATTTCTTATACTTACCTTTTCCTTTCTCTCTTGAAAATCTATTGCTTTTTCTTATAACCTTTTCAGTCTATTTCAGTCTACAGAAAATGGAAAGACTTCAGTTACGTGGCTAAGAAACAAGACTATGACGTAATCGCAAATAACAACCCCCAAATCGCTATCAATGTCCGATAATACCCGGCAATAATCCCCTGATCTGGACGGGATAAACCATGATCTGGGAAGCCTGGTTCCGCTGACATTTCGCGGCATTGACGTCAGCGGTACCAGGACACGTCACAAAGCTGCACGGATGGGCGAGTGGGCGTGTCGGGGGTTAGGGTTGGTACAACAATGGCCAACAATAGGTGACATTTTGGGTGAAGCGGCAGGAACAAACGCGAGCACACAGCTAGGGGCTGGGTGGCCTTGACCGCCATAGCTACTGTCTCCAAGCAGATGTTAGGAGGGAATAAGTTACGTTTCTTGTTACGTTTTAGCAGGAATGGCGAACACGAATGGACCAGACTAGAGAGATACATTTGACCACGAAACTAGAGTCACATAAAAAGTAATCCACGCATCCCAGTAAGACTGATCTAAGTATCGTTTAACTGCCAGTACTAGTGACACGTGCGAAACGCCGCCTGTACAAATTGATGGTACTGCACCTGTGACGCTTAAGGTTGATTGGGGTCCCACACATTGTATATATACACCATAGTGATAGGCGCCCCTTCTCTTGTCGAGCAAGATGGTGGGTCTGAGAGTTCCGTGGTCTAGAGACGTGACCTACTAGCAAAAAAAAAAAAAAATTGGCAAAGGGGACATGGAAATGCGAAGGAGAGAATTGCGTTTGAAATACTGTACATGTATAGTTGAACAAGACATCGAAAGAAATAAAATACCACCACCCAAAGAGCTAAGGAAAATGGGCAATTTTTTTCGAACAAAAATACTAAACCCCTTAGCAGTGCCCCTACACGTGTGTATTCGGTACAGTTATTTTCTGTGTCTGTCCCCAGACAGTTTCTGAGTGGCGGATTTTGGCAGTTTGAGCAGAAACAGATCGATGTGTGAACAACGCTTCAATATAGCCGGACCCGACAACCAATCACAGACACACACATATCCTTATTGTACCGCCAAAACACAGGCTCTACCGCCACTTCAGGTTTAACTATTGATTCTGGAGAAATTTCCTCTTTTCTAATGTTGTTTTTTGTTATAACACTAAATGCAGTCTTTTAACAGATGTTAATATATCTGTAAGGAGCGGAATAGTAAGAAAGCATGTATAAGAAAGTTCAGACAGTAAAACGTAGTAGTAAGTGAAATACTTGTCATATGAATCTATATCTCAAAATGCAGGAATATATGTGATGCATTTTACACTTGAAGCCAGATGGAATTTATGAACGCGTCCATTTTTGCTTTGCAAGTGCCGAACAAAAATCGACCCTGCAAAAAAATTAGAAATTCTGGCCGATGGTAATCAATAATTCTTATTAACTATAATCTATATATTTTACTGTCCGTACCCTGCCATCCCAAGGGGCCTGATAGAGGCTACAACAGCAGCCACACATCCTTGAATAAGAGACACATCTATAGTGTATAGCCGTAGAGCCCAGTCTTTTTAGCTTTAGTACTAGACTAAGTACGATATCTCGGTAGCTTTCCATTCTTTTGTCAGGCTAATAAAAACTTTTACGGTAATATCTTGACTGTGTATCTCATGTAAATAAATCAGAAGTCCCAGCTATATTTAGGTAGCCTGGATGCCAGTCCTTTAAGCTTTAGAACAGGACTAAGTACGATATCTCGGTAGCTCGGTAGCTCGGTAGGTAATAAAAAGTAATAACTTGACTGTGTATTTCGTGTAAATAAATCAGAAGTCCCCCCAGGCGGACACATATCACCAGACAGTACACACACGGGTACAAATAGACATGCAGGTGTTGATATAAACCCACAAAATCAATGAAGCTAAGGCATTAATATGTCATAAAATAAATAAAGTCATGAAATAAGTCATAAAATAAGTAATCAATAATGAAATACAGTATTGCTGTACGAGAGTCGACCTAGTGAGATAATGATACCCTGAATGGGGAATTTTTTCTTATCATATATAATATGTAAGAAGATGGGAATAAGATACCATACTGAAAATGTATGATGAAGTTTAAAAAAAACACCCTTATAACTACACTAGTCACACTAGCATTGTAATACAACTCACTGTCATATTTTACTTGCTTTTGCCAAATTATTTAAAGGTAATTTGGAGATATTCCTATCAGGCTATAATAGTAATATTGACACACGGTTGAATTCGGCATTTTTTTCAGATTTACGATCTAGAATTTCTGCTGACCAAATTTTCCCCCTGACATCCTCCCACTCATCAGCTGGAGCACTACTGGTTGCCATGGCGACAGGCCGTAACCATGGTAACGGATGACGTTGTAAGAGAAAGTATACCAGCTTGCACTGTTCTATTGCATCACATGTGTGCAATATCCCTACAGGCGGCGGTATTTTTACTGAGCAAACAAAATCAGAGTCTAGAGCAGATCTAGCAACGATAACATTTGACCTCCTTTTCTGCCTGACTGAAAATAATAATAGTTGGCACGAAAAACAACTATTAAAAGCTATTAGCACTAGATCTAATGTTTCTATACTGTATATCTATATATACTGTATTGAGAAACTTTTGATATCCGGTATGAACCACTTAGATTCACGTATACCCACAGGAATCGAAGATTTCATGAACAAATTTTGGCGTAGGACAACCCCGGAGGACAAACGCTACATAGCTGACCTTTAATGTTTTAAAAAACCAAGAAAGTTTCTGAGACCTGCACACCCACCTTACGCTGACGTCTGACGCTCCCACAGGACGTACGGTCACGTGACCTCCAAGCTGTACAGTAGATTCCAGCAGACTGGCCGGTTGCTATGACAATATGACGGGTTGCTATGGTGATATAACAGGTTACTATGGTGATATAACAGGCTGGGATCAGAGGAAATCCGGCGCGAAACTCTGCGGGATTTAGAAGTCAATCCCGGGATGACAGCCGTGGGAACTGAACACACTACGGGACGTGACAAGTCCGTACTCTCCAAGCAGAGGTTGTGGGGGAATGATCGTTAGCTTTTTATATATGGCCGTTTTTTGTCGGTGGCCGCGGACCTTCTCTGGCTAATGGATACTGCCTAGCTGGCCAATTTGATGCTGTCTTTTTGCCACCGAAAGGGATCTGCTTGGAGATTAAAAAGACCTGTTCCTGCTGTCTAGTTGTAGTTCGCCAGTGAAAGTCCAGGATAGGTGAGGACAAACCTACGGCGTACGTCTCTTGTACTTTACACAGCTAAGTGGAAACAACCCAAGTGTCGGTCTTGAAATCGTTGTTCTGATGTTACAACACGAAGTTGGAGAAATCCTAGTCACTAGATCTCGTCTGCTCTCCAGCTGTCCTGTAGCTCGCCAGTGAACGTCCGGGATAGGTGAGGACAAACCTACGGCGTGTAGCTCTTGTAGTTTACACAACTAGGCAAAAACAACCAAAGTATTCTCAAATAGTAACTATTGACTTGTTGTAATGCTGCAACACGACGTTGGAGAAATCTTGGTGACTAGATCTCGCCTGGAAGTTGCCCCAAACCTCACCAGGCGTGAGTTGTATTAAAGTTCTTCCTTGCTGAGCCTGACACCCCCTCACACGTACTCGGGACTCAGGGAAAACAAACGGAGCTCAAACCTGAATCAGAGACCACGCGACATGTCAGAGAGACCTCGGAAAGATCGCAGAAAGATCACGGAAAGATCCCAGAACGTCCTGTGTAGTCCTGATCTTCAGGATGCTCCAGAAAACTCCCGGTTTAGCCGTTTCTGAAGGCGAGTTTTGAGACACTGATACGAAGTTTCCGGCTGAGTCCTGTTGTGGGAGGGGGCGGGGCGCTGACCTCTGATCAGCTCCGGCTCAAAGGTGAGCTGCACACCTTGTACCTGGGACTACACCTGCGCAGGTAAGGGCGGCAGGTGTGTGCAGGTAAGGACGACAGGTGTGTGCGGGCGACGCGAAGTTTCGGCAAGAATCTTAAGAGGGGTGTACTAGTAACTCCGCCCACCGGGGTGTCAAGTTACACTCAAGACGTTCTTGTCACTTCCTCAGGTGAACAGGTTTTGACAGGTGTGACTAGACAGGTGTGAACAGGTGAAACAGGTGAGGTACGTGCAGCAGGAGCAGTCCGAAGGGTCCGGCCGGAGTTTCGCTGATCAGGCTGAAACTAAAACTCACAAGTGACAAACAACATACATCACGACCCGGGGCTCTCCTGGGGGTTAGGAGACACCTGTGAAAACCTCCTCACATCAAATCACTTGTTAGACTTTCCTAGATTTTCCCTCATATAGTTTCGTATCCGTAGTACTTCTAGGAATGTATAAACACAAGAAAAGCATTCTTAACTTCCTAATTGTGTCTACAAGAACATGTTACAGACTCAAGTACCGAAAGTCTTGTATGAATAGACGATTTATCATACATCTCTATTTGATCGACCTTGTCCTTCAACATGGACTATTTGAGCGTAGCGGTGTCCCGCTAACCCCCTGTCGACCCTCTAACCCGGACACGGCTGTCGGCCGATAATAAAAACCCGAACGATCGATGATCGAGGAGTTTGCACCTCCGGCTTCTCCCATTGGTCGGCGGCGGTCACGTGGCTGATTAGCGATGATCGTGCGATAAACTGGTCAATAATAACCAGCCTCGCCTCATGACGTCACGATCAGACGGACGAGGCAGGTTCTGATTGAGCGGAGAGTGGAGAATATTGTTAATGTTTCTCTGACGTCCGTTCACTGGTATCATAGTATCATTTCTGTCGTCTGCACGAAAAATGGCGGGAAAAACGCTGATGTTGAAAGTTAACACTATAAACGACATTGAAACTTTGTCATATGCCTTTTTCTTCGAAATGAATTGTAAACGAGGGACACTTTCTGAACAAGCATGAACCATTGCATCGGCCCCAGACATACACATGTAGCTACTGAAGACAAAAAGACGTGCAACAACTTTTGCAATCAAATGTAGTTTTCCAGATACTATGGTATACGTGATGATGATGAAAGATGAATATCTATAAATTAATCTCCAAATCATTTTACTTTTGTATGGCTGTTTAAAGTCAGTTGTATTCAGCAATTGGTTTTAAGTCGTCCCACGTTGTCCTTGACAACGAGTCATTCTAACAAAGAGTTCAGAATGTGTACCCATGGAGCAACAGACCAACCAGAAAGAAGGCGATTTGCCAAAAGTAAATTTGAGCTTGATTTTCTAAAGTGGTGGTCTATATAACTCTTTAACAGGGCGCCCACATAAGTTTGCATAAGCTAAGGAGGCAACAGACAGGAATATATCAGAAAATTGAAGATGGGAAAAGAGCAAACCATTTCTGGGAACTTTGATCCAACTTTCTATCAATGTCACCGTCGTTTCTAGCATCTGGCGATAGCTACGAACACACAAGCCGACACACAAACAGACAAACCGAACACAAAACCTCCGTACACGGAGGTAACAAGCACTACATTACTGACTTGCGACTTGCCATGCTGTTTCGCTCATCTCTTACACAAGCAAACTATAGATATAAAACTCCTCAGTCATCGGTCCAGTGAACCGTCCCCCCCGACCACCTGTTACATGGATCGATCCCGGGATGAACGTATCCGTGACGTCATCAGGCTGATCTATAAACATCCCGCTGACGCTTACAACAAACAATCCCACAGTTCTGCGGGCGTGGACAGTTTTTACTTGCGTAACCAAAATTTGAATTTATGAACTGGCGATCACCTATATCTCCTGTCACTCAACCTTGGTTTTCTTTCAATCCTTATTTTCCCACGTACCGGTTCCCACAAGGCAACAGACATTAGTATACAGTACTAGAAACTGAAGACTACAGAAATGAGGCAACCATGTACCATTCACTGCCTCCTAGCCTGCACGCAGACCATTTTAATGCCTAATTCGACCTTCCTGCCAGTCTGCGGTTACACCATTTCCCTCTCACTTCCTGTCACTCTGCTATATTCAATAAACGATAAACATACAAGCAATCACACGGACAAACACACGGAAATAACGTAAACTGCGAAAAGATGCTTTCCCAAGGAGAAATCTGACTAAGCGAAAGTGTCTACCAGATGTTGCGACTACTAGACTGTGTACATCTATCTACACCCGCCTACGCCTGGCCAGAACCGCGCCACCACGGCTGACTTCAGCCTGATACAACCTGTTACCGACATATCGGCTGTACGTGAGGAAAACTTAGCCTCCGTAGCAGGCTTATAGAACTGGGGGGTTGGTGGTCTTCGGCTGTTTTCTGATTAGCCTCCGTAGCAGGCTTATAGAACTGGGGGTTTGGTGGTCTTCGGCTGTTTTCTGATTAGCCTCCGTAGCAGGCTTGTAGAACTGGGGGTTTGGTGGTCTTCAGCTGTTTTCTGATTAGCCTCCGTAGCAGGCTTATAGAACTGGGGGTTTGGTGGTCTTCGGCTGTTTTCTGATTAGCCTCCATAGCAGGCTTATAGAACTGGGGGTTTGATGGTCTTCGGCTGTTTTCTGATTAGCCTGTTGTAAAAAAACGGGGCTAATTCAACCAGGCCGGCTATGTTGTCTATATGCAATCAGAAACTAGCACATAAAAGCTCCCAAAGACCCCCCAAACCCCCAGTTTTTGGCATGCTATGGAGGCTAGGGAAAACTCTTCTGTCAGCGAATTACAGCGACTAGACTCAACAGTCTCAGGGATGGGGCAGAAACAGTGCCGACACGCCTACACAAAATTTATTAGGAATTCCATACGGTCTGATGAAGTCTACAGAATCGGTTGGAGCTAAATTGTTTCAATTAAGGCGGCGGACTTTTCTTGTCTTGGACCAGAAGAATTGCTCACACAGTTCAGTGCACAGCAGTGGTCTTTTGGCCTTGCATTGAGCAAACTCGTTAAAAAATGCGAGATGTGGCCTGGCTGGGAAGTGTTCTTGCGTGCACCGAGCAAATTGAGTTCGATAAAACGGGCCAGCTTGAAATAGATATACTCTAACATGAAGTCAGACGTTGCCAAGGAACATCTGAAAAGTTCTGTTCTGCATGTTTTCTGAGCTGCCTGGTGAAATAATAGTTACAATCATACAATCGTTTGATTTTTCTAGCCTCTGTCAGTTAGGATTCAGATGCTAGAAAAAGTAGAAATTGGCCACATGGACAGAACGCAGGTCAGCGGAGTTGGTCCGCTAAAGGAGAGCGCTAGCGGCAAAATGTACTCCTTTAGCAACTGTCCTAGGCCCTGGCATGTGTTCTGTTAGGCTATGTTGTATTTGAATCAATTTCTACTTTTTCCAGCCGCTTCTGAAGCCTGGCAGATGCTATCTATGATTTTCCTAACTGTGCGACGGTTACCGACTTCTGGTCACCAAACGGATTTGTGTACCGGGTTTACTATCCTGAGAGCAGCCATGTTACTAGTACAAATGTATATCGACAGAAAACGATTTTCTCTCAGCGCCCCCAGGATGGCCCTTCCCGCGGTGTGTTGTATGTGGAGTGGGTATTACAGACCGGATTGTACCAGGATATTAGCAAGGACCAAACAGACTCACAACTGCTCAGTCAGTAGTATCGAGTCAGTTGGGCCAATTTTGCTGCTACTGGCTCGACAACCCGAGATGCTGTTCCAATGACCCAAACTTCGGTGTTCATTGCCTTGCCTGCCAGTGGTAGCCCCCCCCCCCCCAAAAAAAACAAAGGCTAGTGTCAGCGGATATTTGCTAGCTACAATGTACATGTACAATCGGTTGGGAAATGCAACATTTTTCTAGGTCCAGCCTTCATTCCGTGCCTACATTATTACGATGGTAACATCTTCACATTTTCCCAATTCCTTTTACTTATTATGCTCTTCAAAAAAAGTGCTTAGATATCTGTTTTATCTCTCTTACCCCTTTACACTTTTGGAATATCAATACCATTGACAATAGTTCAGTCACTCAGTCCTCTGATCAAAGATGCGCCTACATGTACCACGTAAGCCCTAGCGGAAAGCACCAGAACTGCAGGAGTATAGAAAACGCTAACAGGTGATTGACATCTGAAATGCACAGCCATGACGTCATCCATAATTCATGATGTTGTGCCGTTGCCATGGTGACAAAGCCAATAACACCCCGCCAGATCTGGGAGATTAGCTGATTGAATAATGATTGTTCAGGGGAGATCCATTGTTGGTAAGGGTAGGGACTGGGACAGATGTAAATATGTATATGATGATGTAAATATAAAATGTAATACATAACCCTTCACCTCATTTGGGAGGGCACCAAATTTGTTGGTATCTTCAACCATTCTTTCTTTTCCTCAGATGTCAATAAAAACTATACTTACAGAAAGGGTAACAAGTCGTTCGGTTGTAGCTAGCTGCCACTGTGCCGCTTGCCTGCAAAGCTGGTGTGTTATGCTGAAGGGCAGTTATACAGGCTATACTGATTCAGACAGAAAGAAAGGTACTGGTAGTACACTATTATAGAAAGTACAGTCAAACCTGTTCAAGAGAAAACCTCTACACAAGACCCACCTGACCAATGTGCCCTTAGATGATTTTTCCCATTGACACAAAGCATGAAGAAGCCAGTCTATAGTGACCACCTGTCCACATAGACCAGATTTTGGTCTATGTCGATATTGGTCCCATGAGTGGTCTTCTTGGGCAGAGTTGACTGTGACATTTTAAATGACATGCATGAAGTAATAACAAGAATCTCTTGACTTGTAATGAAGCAATAGACACAGGGTTGTGTGGCGTAATTGGCAGGGCATTTGGCTCAGAACCAAGAGGTCTCAGGATCGAATCCTGCCAAGTCACCAACCTTGTGCCCTTGGGAAAGGCACTTTACACGACTTTCCTCGCTTTGCTCAGGTGAAAATGAGTATGCCAGAATGATATTATCATGATCGTGGGCAATCAAAACAATCCACACCACGAAGAGCATCTGTATGTTTGCCTTCAGTTCTGTATTAATCGCTGGAGTCTACATGTATGTATGGAACATTCAGCAATGTACAGTTCAGGTTGTCAAGGAAACAGATGAAAATGCTAATAAATACACAACTTACATCTCCGTACACAATAAAGGTCTGACAATAAAGCTGATATCTGAGACTGGCCCTGGTCTGTGTGATTGAGTCCTGTAGACTGGCTGGACATGTGAGGATGGGGGACATGTACATGTATAGCAGCAACAGTGATGCAGATGACAATGGGCTATGATTGGGAGTGACATACATTGCTTGGCATGGAGGATTATACTATATATTATTGTGATAATCATTGTACTGTTTGCAAGGTTTTCTTTTTCAGGATTATCATTATTGTAAGCAAGACAGAGCTACTAGTATTCCATGAGTGGTTGGACTGAAGTATAATGGGGGAAGAGAGGAATGTTGTTAGCATATGAAGCATGAATTAGCCTGGATGACAGACCCACAAAACAAGGCAATACCAATCCCTTAGGCTTGCATGAGTAGGCCTTGGAAACAGCCTGGCATTTTCACTGACATTATCACAGATGAAGAGGGTATGGCAGGGTAACTAGCCAGTGAGGCAAACTCCTGTGAATTGAATATGACTGTTGAGTTCACAACACAGCCTTGATTTTACTGTTCTGTGGTACAACTAGCCTGGTTACCAGACCTATTATAGCTCCAGAGTCCTACATCCTTTCCACTATTTTTGAAGATGTAGGACTTGGGAGCTATAAAAGGTCTGGTAACCAGGCTAGGTCAAAACTAACACTACATGATAGTACTAGCTAGTACAGCCAGCCTACAAGACTCTACCCAGAGACCAGGGGAAACCTCCTACTGTAAATGCTGGTTTGTCTACAGTACTCACCAGCCTACACTCTATAACATTGCACCAACATAGGAGAGTTCAACATTACATTTCCCTATACATACAGTACATGGTCAAGCGGTCCATTCATTTATATCTACATCTCGTGAATCACAGACACGCTCGCACACAGATACCTACATCATTCTCAAGGGCTGACTTTGCTACACAGCAGGGGAAAGAAATAACACATCAGGGACCTAGAGGTTGTTCATCTCTAATTGTCCATTTTAACTAACAATACATTATCATTACTGAGTGCTTAGCTAGAAAAAAGGTAAGCCAAGCAGCAATTGAAAAAGCATTTAACGCTTTGCCAAAAAGCAGTTACTCAAGCAACTGGATATGATTTTGAAAACGTCAGACGTTTCAGGTAGTATCCACTAGCTTTCGTCAGTGACTGAGAGACCAGAGGGGAAAACAGGTTTATAAGCACAACCTATTGATTGATATGCAAATAAAGTGAAGACAAATTTTTTTGGAAAGCTGACGAAAGCTAGTGGATACTAGCTGAAACGTCTGACGTTTTCAAAATCATATCCAGTTGCTTGAGTAACTGCTTTTTGGCGTATCGTATTACCTGGATGTCTAACCTTCATCGACGCATTTAACGCTTTGTGTTCAACTGAAGACAAGGAATGCCAAGATCTTTAGCTACAAAATGTTGAATTGCCATAATAAACTCCTAGAGGCTGAAAGACAGAAAGCTGGCCAGGTGAGGTGGTCATTTTTCCCCACCTGTTTCACACCTGACAGTGGAACGTTCCAACGGCAGGCTATATACAGAAATTCTGCAGCACAGGAACTTTCACATGTACTGTATATCATAATTATGTACCTCGCTTTGGTAGGTTGAAGTTATGTAGCAAACCTACAGATTGTTGCAATAGTTTTGTTCTGTCAGCAACAGCCTGGCTACATAAATGTATCGAGCTCCTAAACTGCATGGTTGATTACAGTTATAGTTTTTTTTTTCCATCTTGGGTCACGTGACACTAGTGATACAAATCCTGCATGTTTTTATCTGCTTGTATGACAAAGTTGGAGTCTATATTTTCTAACTAAATGAGAATTTTGCTTGAGCTGACTTCAGTTAGCCTTCTGGTCTCTTGTTCAATTAATTCTTGCATATTATTCAGGGCTAGAGTAATTATAATGTTACAGTGGTACAAATTTAACCTCTTGGAGAGTTTCCTCCTCCTGGTTACTATGGAGACCAACGGACTGTGCTGATTGGCTAGACTTCAGGCTGGTAACCATGGCAACTTATAGAAGCCATTTTGCCTATGTACAAATATGGTAACCAGAAATGATTGGCTATCGTCAACCGAGTAACCATGAAACAAACACAGAAACGAACTATGATAAACAATTCTGGTAACCTTGGAGACAGCTTGTGTTGTCGTGGTTTCCATGGCAACTGACAGGGCCACTGCCTAGCAACTGCAAGAGACGATTTTTGTTCCATATCAGTGAGCTGGTAGCTATAGCAACAGACACAGACTGCTGTTATTGGTCACATTCATTGGTGGTAACCATAGAGACACAGATGGACCAAGCTGATTGGTCAGTGTTTTGCCCTTATATGGTATATGGTTGTTTTTGTTTATTGTTTATTCTAGAGTCATGACAACACTGGTGGGCTGTGGAGGTCTAGCATCACTGCTGTCAGCTGGTGTGAATATCAGCTCTTGGGATTTAATTTTTTTATATTTAACTTAATAGAGTTATCTTTTTTTTCTACTTTGCTACCAAACAGGCACACACTGTGGCTGCAAGGGCCAGCCCTGGGGCCTCAGCAATTCCTCTCCTCCTGGTTCTCTCCTTCTTTCCTTCCGATGGCGTCAGGGTTGGCGAGCGGGTCCAGGTCTGCAAACAGGTTGAACCAGGCAGACATGTCTTTGCCGACGCCTTTTCCTGGCTTTCCTGTGAAGACAACAGATCAGGATTTTATGAGAGGAAAAAGAGCCCATGAAGGGCTACATGTATGCTAAATGAGGGCCTGCAAGGGGGGGTTCCGACAACGCTCTATGCTGAATTTGGAAACCTCTCAATTACGCTTCACGATAAATTCAAAGTGGCTACAACGCATTACGTAGAATTAAAATGCTGAATACGCTCTGCGCAAAAATATTAGAGCGGTCCGTCTACGCTCTACCTAGAATATTATTAAAACAGCCGATTACGCTCTACGGAAAAGGGCTTGCGGGCCCCCCTAAATTGTGTGTGTGCGTGTGTGTGTGTGTGCAAGACATATATTGTTCAGACGTGTGTTTGATTTGTGCGTTTGTAGTAAGCAAGTTAAGATTCATTCAAATATTGTTGTACATATAAATGAAACTAACATATGAATCACAAGACAATGCGAACTCATGTCATTACTTTGAAGGCTATTTCAAAACAATTTATAAAATCTGAAGACATGATTTCATTGGCCAGCTAGCTCTACAAGTTGATCCTTCCACCAATAAAGGTATGCCTAAATACAACAACCCACCACAACCGACTGCTTCCTGGGCTAATATGCAGTGTACAAGTGCTATTCTTTCTTAAAAAAAAAATGGTAAATACGTTGGAGTTACAGTGTTTTTTTTTATTCACACAAGCATAGACAATGCATCCAGAGCGTTAAAAGGGGTTCTTAGCACATGTACACTGCGTATTAGCCCAGGAAGTGGTGGGTTGTGGTATTTAGGCATACCACACCAATAGCATGGGCTGTTACAGTACCATCCTCACCTTTCTGCTCCTGTTGCAGCAGTGGTTGTTGTTGTTGCTGCTGTCCCTGCTGCATGCTGTTCTGCTGCTGGTTACCAGGGGGAGCTGCTGCAGCAGGCATGGCAGGGGGCATCATGGGAGGCTGGCCGGGCGCGCCCTGCAGCGGCACCATGCCCTGGGGACCTCCCGGGACGGGTGGTTGACCTCCTGAGGAAGGAAGGAAAGAAAGCTTGTCAGACAATGGCTAGACAATACTAGTAACAAGGATGATAATTATGGGTTCACCACACCACGAAGTGGTGGTGAACCCATATTGCTTTTTCTGATGTTTCTTCTTCTTCTTCTTCTTCTCCTGCCATTTTTTAAATGGATTCAGCTTCTTCATTTTAGGGCCTAAGGTCCTGAAATTTGGTATGGAGGTACAGTGGGCAAATACCCCTAGGCGTTTTTAAATTTTTGTGATACAGGCTTTTAGAATGGTTTTATTTGAGTTTTTTGGCTGTGTTATAGCAAATGTATTACTGTGTTAGTGTGCCGTGTTTACCACGTCTGGGCATGAGTCATCACAATGGAATGCAGGGCATCAACCAATAGGCATGCAGCTTTCCTCTATACTTCTTGCTGATTGGCTGTTGGGATTTAACTTGATTAACACCTGCACAGAGCATTTCCACCTGCACAGAGCATTTCTTGCTGATTGGCTGTTGGGATTTAACTTGATTAACACCTGCACAGAGCATTTCCATACTGACAGTATGTCTTTATTCAAGTGTTTTGGTAGGTATTTCAAGCTTTTCTGCTCCAGCATTGGAATGCGGGGCATGAACGTTTTTTTTATTTTGAAAATCAACAGTTTGCATTATGCAATTAAAAATCCTAACCAATAAAGTAGGGAATAGCTATCCAACTGTTGTTTTAGTTGTATGTTACTTTATATTATAGTTATATCAATGTAAATCATTGTTTTCCTTTGTGTTTCTCATTCTTTCCCTGCCATGTCGTAAAATGTGGTGAACCCATCGCTGTATTTGCTCCAAAGCAAATATTGGCCTTTCTAGTTCTAATTTTTTTTTTGACACTACAAATTAAAGTACAGGGACCTTAGAGTTTGTACAGCCATCTACATGACCAATCTTAGGGCTGATAAATCTAGTCTATGTGGACAGGTGGTCACTTAATTCTTGTGTCAATGGGAATACCTGTAATAATGGCTAAGGCCAGGGACCACCAAAAAGTGCCATCGGCCAGGTAGTCCTTATGTAGAGGTGGTCACTTGTACAGGTATGACCGTGGTGTAAGAAACAGGAGGAGCGAGTAGAAACAGATTAAAACCCCTGGTCCCAGGCCAGGGTTCGAACCCACGACCTCCCGAGCACCAATCCACACACCGACGCCCTAACCACTCGGCTGAAAAGGTCTAGACCCATCGGCCGGGTCAGTTGGTAGCGCCTATAAACCCCCCACTGTTACACATGCCCGTAGCCAGGATTTTGAGGGGGGGGGTTCTTCCGACTGCTTGAGGGGACCTTGAGCGCCGTAGGAGCGAGGTTCCTAGCCCCAGAAAATTTTGAAAAATGAACCTTCTAAAATCGCATTTCGTGCGTTTTTGAGAGGATTTCTAAGAAAAAAAAAATCAGAGATCAATTTTTATTCCATGACAAAGGGAGCAGTTTTTCTACGATTCCAGTCTATCTTTTCGAGAAAAATCTTGGACCTATACATAAAAAGTGGACCAAAAGTGGACCTTTACATAAAAAGTGGACCAAAAAGTGGACCTTTGAGCTTTGTGGGGGGTTTCGTCCAAACCCCCCTAGCTACGGGCATGTTACAATAGTTTATAACATACAGTTCCCCAAACTCACCCTGCGTGCTCATGGCAGCCTGCATCTCCAGCAGCTGTGAGGGGAGGAACTGTCGCATGCTGCCCTCTCCCTCCCCCGTCAGACCCCCGGGGATCTGCATGGGGGGAGGCTGGTTCCCGTACACCGCCTGCCATGACTGAGCAAACTCATCCTCACCTGTAACATCGCACAACAAGAAAATCAGCAGAATTCAAGCAAACTTCATGATATGCAAACTCGTACCCAAAGGCAATTACCACTGTAAAAATCATTTTTCATGAAATACGTCATTAATAAAACAAAATTGTTTGGCACCCGAAATCAGCCATGCTGCCTGGGTGGCCAATGTATTGTCTTGTTGAATTAAAATAAAACAAAATTGCACAGTCATCAAATTTCTGGCTTTTTCTATGGCCTTCTTCTGGATGAGTGACCCACGGCTTGGGTCATATGACCCTATATTATGGACACATGGACTCTGATAGTGGGTTAAATGTGCCTGAATGTACATCATTCTTATTTTCAGACTTACAGAAGTTTGCATACTATATTATAACTGTCATGTAAGAAAACAGATTTTAAAGCCCTTGCAAGAGCCTTTCATACATAAAACGTGAGCCAGCTTGCTCTATGCATGTTCTTTCTGGCAGCCCTACTACTGGCTACAGCAGAGCAAAACTTCAATCCAAGTATGGGTGATACCATTCTCCTGCAGGGGTGGGACCAACCATACCTGTTGAGGGGGCATTCAGGATCTCGTTGAGCAAGGTCATGTCATCCTTGTCAAGGTCAAGGTCGTTGCTGGCAGGTTCGTCGGACAGAAGGTCTTTCCCTGCACCTGAAGGCAGATTCTACAGTAAGCACCTTAAATTATACCAGCATGGCAAACTACAGCATGATCTTTGGCTTAAGTAGCATGTTGGCAGAACGTACTGCACCTGTGCAAAAACTTGTGATGTGTTGTGCATAGCACTTTGCCAGAATGTCTTGTTTAAGATCATATTCGCGTATTTAAGGATGGCATTTTGCCTGTAGTTTTCAAATGTTGTGTGGAGAAAAGATATCGTCTGCAACTGGCAAAATTCTGATGCAATGTTGACCAAACATCCAACGAAAACCCTGAAAAATCTGAGTTTTGCACAGGTGAAGTACCTTCTGCCAAGATGCCGACTTCATTTTGGTTCATTGGGGACAAACCAGCACTCTTCTTTGGTGGAAAATCACAATTTGTATTGGTCACTGTCCTGCTCTCATTTTTGTGTACCTTCTGATGAGGACCAAATAGAATTCAACATACATAGCAACGCAATCACACATGACATTGTATTCTTCCTGTTTGTTAACAAACCACCACCTCCACCACCAGTCCTTAAAACCCTGATATCAAACCATGCAATGTGATTGGACAAAAGTTAGAGGAGAGCCACCAATGAGGGACGAGTTACCAACCCTCCTTGTCCTCTGATTGGTTAGTGTCTTGTGAGTTTGTGAGAGGGGCGAGGCCTTCATTTTCTGAAGGGACTTCCATGTCTGGGGAAAGATATTATACATAATATTATAATAGTGTTGGTGTTGTTAATATTAACCTCCAGAACTTTAACTGGCATGGTGCATCTAAAGAGAGAAGGTACCTCTACATTTGTGAGTGTAAGATTCTGAAAAATTTAATCACCACCAAAACTAGAAAGTATATTTTCTACTAGAGATACAAACAGATACTGGTTTGTAGATTAACCTTTAGCATGCAAAGGTAGCTATTTGGCACCAAATTGTTATTGGTTTTAGTATTAGGTAGCAGGGATAAGGTTAAGGAATTGATGAATGAAAAGTATCATGTTGTAAGAAAAGAGATGTTTTAAAATGTTAACTGAGTCTTTAGCGTTCTGTAGACTGTAATTCAGATACATACTGTGTATATTGCGCAGGACTACCATGAAAGACTGTGTATACTCTATCTATCTTTTGTGTATAATGTTGTAGATGTAAGTGAATGATATGATAGTGTACATGTAACTTAGTGAATGATATGATATTGTATATGTAACTGAATGTAATGTATTGGCACAAACCCAGCAGGTTGCCTGTGCCTGTGTGTGGGTCTGTCCAGCCTGGTATGTGTGCTAGGTTAGTGCCAGGCCATGCTAGGTCAGGCGCTAGCTGTGCTAGGTCCTGGTTTAGCAGTGCTAGATCTGACATCACTGGGGTGAAATTAAGTCCCATTAAGTCATTAAGTGCACCTGGGTAAGAAAGTACAGCACAGGTTAGAGTTGTGATTAATTAGTTTTTAGTTTTCTACTGATTGTATCAAGAGAAAGAAAAGCTATGTGAGCCCATGGTTCAAACCACTGATCAACAAGCTAATGCAGCTTGTTGTTTGTAAGAGTTACTATCCAAAAGACAGAAGTTCAGAAATAAGCTTATGACAGCAATAGAATCCCTATACCAGGTATAAAGAAGCAATGAAGTGAGACAAAATAACCTGAAACTTGACAGAATGCAGAGAGAAGTTTTCAATGAAAGAAAGAGATGAATATTTTTTTGAAAAAATGAGACACTTGAATAACCAAACAAATGAGGTCTTATGAATCGTACTACCTTTTCCTGAACTAGAACAAAATAGTCTACAGTTGACTCACATTTATAAGTGAGTGGGAAGTTGAGATTATCAAATAAAACTTGCTAAATCCCCACCGTGTTCCTGTCGTTGTTTCTGCAGGTCGAGTCGTGAGTCTGCGAAGTTGGTAAACTCCTCGTCCTCCCCGACTGTCAGTAAAGAACCACACACCTGTTCCTCATGTATAAGGACCACACACCTGTTCCTCATATAAAACATGAACCTGTACATGTACAAACATCTCACCGTGTTCCTGTCGTTGTTTCTGCAGGTCGAGCCGCGAGTCTGCGAAGTTGGTGAACTCCTTAGTGGCATTTTCAAGAACTTTCTCAAGAACACAGTCTTAGCTTTAAGACATTCTGACTTTCATATGATACAGAGGCTTTTTCCTACTATAAAATCTTGTTTTAAAAACCCCACCGTGTTCCTGTCGTTGTTTCTGCAGGTCGAGCCGCGAGTCTGCGAAGTTGGTGAACTCCTCAGTGGCATTTTCAAGAACTTTCTCAAGAACACAGTCTTAGCTTTAAGACATTCTGACTTTCATATGATACAGAGGCTTTTTCCTACTATAAAATCTTGTTTTAAAATCCCCACCGTGTTCCTGACGTTGTTTCTGCAGGTCGAGTCGTGAGTCTGCGAAGTTGATGAACTCCTCGTCCTCTCCGACTGTCAGTAAAGGACCACACACCTGTTCCTCATACATAACTAAAGGACTACACACCTGTTCCTCATACATAACTAAAGGACTACATACCTGTTCCTCACGTATAACATGAACATGAACGTGTACAAACATCTCACCGTGTTCCTGACGTTGTTTCTGCAGGTCGAGTCGTGAGTCTGCGAAGTTGGTGAACTCCTCGTCCTCCCCGACTGTCAGCTCGTCGATCATGTTCAGCAGGTCGTCGTCGTCCCCGTTCTCTGCCGTGTCCACGCCGTTACCCGTCCCGCCCGCCGGCGCGCCGCTCCTGTCCTCACCAAACGATATTAGTCTGAGGACAGACGGAGAGTTTTACAAGTCAGGAGGGCATTTATGTGGAAGCAGAAACAGCAAAGAATGTAAAACAGAGTCCAAAGCATATCTTAATATGCTCACTGTGCCTATTAAATACGAATAGCAAAGAAACCAAGTTAGTATTCAAAACTCACAACACATTGGTTAGTAAGTGCTAACTATGTACTAGTAAATAATCTATAGCTGTGGAGACCCACCACCAGCACAATATCATGTGGTCAGACATGAGGGTTAGTACTGATAACATAGTGGGAAGAAACTCTGTTGTGATGCTCTTGTGAATTGTAGAAGCTATTGTGAACTGTAGGTTTCAAAAGCACTGCAGCAAGAGAATGTTGACTGCCGATTGTTGTTAAAAAGCCTCATTTCCTGTAAGGTTAGTAGTCTGTGTCCAGAAAAGCAAAATGGCGAAAGTCTCATCACTTTCTGGAAAGTGTCAAATCCAAAGAATGTAAACCCAAGTGAGGAGGGAGCACTCTGAAATATAGTAAAACAAAGAGCAGAGAAGGCCAGTAGTCTCCTCTACACCCAGCAGTCTTAACAACCTCAGCCTGGACCTCAGAAGCAGAGAGAAGATTAGACAACACCAAGGAAAGCTGTGTTAGTACTGCCACAGTCTGGTTACACAACTGCTCCTCCATCTCAGACCTTGTGGTTTCATCTATGTACTCTTCCTGATCTTCTTCCTCCTGTCTGCTGCTCTTTTCCTCCTTTCTGCTGCTCTTTTCTTCCCTCTTTCTGTCGTCCTGACAGCGGTCACACTTGTCCTCTGTTTGACCTTTGTCCTCTAATTCTTCATCATCAAGTTGCAGAAGGTCAAGACCGCTAGGGGGGAATCATCAGTACAAACCAGAAAATAAACAGACATGCAATATAAAAGTTGAAGAGGGGCAGTGAGATATTATGCTGAGACTCTCTCCTTTCCATTTCTATGGCAAAGTAGCAAAAGGCACTTCCTATCGGACCCCTATGCTATCATTCTCTATATTTTCATGAAATTTTTGTTGTAAAACACTCCTGGAAAAGCTATAAAACTGTTCTGAGCACGAACTAAAAGCAATTCTCACATGTTAGTGGCACAAATCAAATAGGGTATTTTCTCACCCACTCAAAATCTCTAAGGGACATTCTAATCCCTCCTTTTCTCATTTCATGTCATTTCATCAGTCAATCCCATCATATATATCATTCTCTCCCTGCCTCTTCCCTTCCCTCCCTCCTCACCTGTTAGGTGCCTCCTCCTCCGCCTCCTCCCCCTTCTCCACCTCTCCCTCCTTCCCTTCCCTTCTCTCCCTCCCTCTTCCCTTCCCTCCGTCCTCACCTGTTAGGTGCCTCCTCCTCCGCCTCCTCCCCCTTCTCCACCTCTCCCTCCTTCCTCTCTCCTGTTGTCTGCTCAATCAGCTTCTGGACTGGACCTTCTAGTTGCTGCAGGGACAAACAGTTCACATCAATTAATGACATGTATTTAAACCTCTGAGCCTCCTGTAGGTCTAGAAATGGACCAAACTTTAGCAAAATAAAACATGATTAAGTATATGTCCATAAAAGACATTTCATAAACTAAATTTACATAAATTTACTACATATTATATCCCAGTGTCTGTATCTGGAACATGCATCTAATATTTGCCTCAAACATATACAGTCAACCTCAACAACAAAAGTTGATTCTAAAGTCATTTAGCAAAAGACACCTCTACACAGCATTAAGCTTGTGGCATAAATAGCTTGCAGTAAACAACTTACAAGAAGAAGGCAATAAGACAAATAAAACTTATGGTATCTCAAGCCAAGGCTAGATTCTCACCTTAAGCATAGTGAACTTGTAGTGCTGTTACACAGTAGCCTTACCTTGAGCATGGTGAACTCGTAATGCTGATATCCCTTGAAGCTCTCGTGCACAGCGCTGAGTGTCCTGGCTGTTTTCTCCCAGTAGTGCAGGAGAGTGTTCTGTCTTAACTTAAACATAGCGAACTTGTAGTGCTGTATGTACCCTTACCTTCAGCATAGTGAACTCGTAATGCTGATATCCCTTGAAGCTCTCGTGTACTGCGCTGAGTGTCCTGGCAGTTTTCTCCCAGTAGTGCAGGAGAGTGTTCTGTCTTAACTTAAACATAGCGAACTTGTAGTGCTGCAGCCTTACCTTCAGCATAGTGAACTCGTAATGCTGATATCCCTTGAAGCTCTCGTGCACTGCGCTGAGTGTCCTGGCAGTTTTCTCCCAGTAGTGCAGCAGTGTGTTCTGTCTTAACTTAAGCACAGCAGAACTTGTAGTGCTGCAGCCTTACCTTTAGCATAGTGAACTCGTAGTGCTGATATCCCTTGAAGCTCTCGTGCACAGCGCTGAGTGTCCTGGCAGTTTTCTCCCAGTAGTGCAGCAGTGTGTTCTGGTATGTGGCCAGGGTGTGGGAGAACATGTTACAGCGAGAGGCTCCCAGCAGGTCCACCTTTTGGCACACGTCGTTCTTCAGCTTCTCAAACTTCCCCCGAGTACTGCGCACCTGGGTCTGGACCTGGGGAGGGGGGGAGGTAAGAAGAGGGAGTCTTTTGTATTAGTAAACAACCTGCAAAGCTGGCAGTTGTAGGGTAAAAACTGCAATGGCGGTAAAACCCTCCTTGAAGCATTGGCTAGTTCTGTGCATCTGCAACTGGGTGAGAGGAAGAGAAATGGGTGATGTAAGAGGAGAGTACCAGTTGCCACTTGTCAATATCTGTAGGCACAAGGCAGCTTTTGTAGAGCACAGTCATCTCTGGCAAGGAAGCATGCTTAACCTTATTTCATACCTTCACAATATTTCAGATAAAAAGGACTACACACTGTCAAAAGTAATTGTCATTCAAAAGAAGAGAAGGACAAAAAGAAGTTAAAAGTATATGCTAGCTACGTATGTACCATTTCAACTAGGAAATAAAAAAAAAACTTGAAAAGCAATCCGTCAGTTTTAGGTTCGAAATCTACTGAAATTAGATGGTCAATTCTCTGCCCAGTGACCTAACAAGTCTTTCTTGAAAGGAAAGATTGCTGTAGACGAAAATACCATTTTTTTGTAGGCAATAGTTTAAAAATACAAAAATAGAGGCGGCTTGTTTCCCACCTTTCTGAACTTCTCAGTCAGCCAGTTTAGGGTTCAAAACTAACTGGGATTACAAAATGCTGGTCACTTCTCTGCCTAGTAAAATAACTAGTCTATATTTAAAGGAAAGATTACTGTAGATAAAAACATTCAGTTTTTACATGTAACCCACCTTTCTGAACTTCTCCAGCTGTTTGTACGTGTCAGGGTCCAGTTGTTCTGACACGTCCTTCATCCACAGCAGTGAGCCGCGGTACTCCGTCCGCGATGCCTCCATCCGGTTTATCGTCATCAGGCAGTCCGAGATGGCGCGGTACCGAAACGTCTCCACTTCCTGGTACAGGCGGACTAGGGGCACCCTCAGCGCAAGCCTGGTTATATCATAGAGGCAGAGAGAAAAAGAGTTAGCATGTAGAAGTTGTCCATGCTCTCATGTGTCATGTGTGTGTGTGTGTATCTGTGTGTGTGTGTGTGTGTGTCTGTGTGTGTGTGTGTGTTCATGTGTACATGTGTGCCTGTAGACTTACAAAAATGTACTGTCTGCTCATTTCAGAAGCTCTCAGCCTTGCCTATGCGTGTGTGTATGTATGTATGTGTGTGTGTGTGTGTGTGTGTGTGTGTGTGTGTGTGTGTGTGTGTGTGTAAGTGTGTGTGTGTAAGTGTGTGTGTGTGAGAGATAGAGAGTGTGTGTTTGTGCATGTATGTGTATGACGTTTGTGTGTGAGTGTGTGTACATATTGTTCAGTACCAAGGACAGGGATAGTTTTAAGTGTGTGTGTGTGTTTGTGTGTATGTATGTATGTATGCATGTGTCCTTACCTCTGTTGACTAGAGAAGCTCTCAGCCTTGCCGACAGCAGCCATCATCTTGCCTGCGCGAGTCTTGTCTATCTGACTCTGGGACTTGAGGAACCGACCCAGCTCATTCTCAGCCTGGGACAGGGCTGTAAGGGAGGGATACGGTTGCCAGCTTATTCTCAGAGCAGAGACAATCATCATTCTTCTCGAGATCAATAATAAAAAAAAAACATAAGGCACTGTGACTGGGCCTAACCATGACATTCCCTAAATTGAGGCTACTGCATGAATAGCATGTTGTCCTCACTGCTACTGCGCAGGTAGCTTTTTCCACACAAAATTAGTTCATTGAGATGTGGAAATAAAAAGCTTCCCAAAAAATTCCTCCTTTCACTACAGTAACAATTAACTTTTAAGTTTTAAAGACATGGCACAGACTGCAAGGCTGACATACTTACCACACAAGTTGTCCTGGTATTTCTCTATAACTCTTAACAAGTCCATACACGACTTCTGGATGGAGCGGAACACCTGGAAAAGAAGATGTACAAGTCAGAATAGTGTTGGATTACTTCAAGGAAACAATTTGGTCTCCATGAATGAAAGTGACGACTACTTGCTTTCTGTTGAACACAAAGTCATGCTGTGTGGTTCCACAAATAAGAAAATCCCATGCAAATGATGTGGAGGCATGTACATGTATGTGTGCTGAAATTTGAATTGTGCCCCTAGAAAACAAAAGCACAAACACACTAACAAAATAAAAGTCTTAGAATACTTGACTGTCGACATATCCAATGTTCAACATGCCATGCAAGTGTGTATTGTATTTGTCTTTTGAAAATCTAATAAAAATAACATGGAAAAAAAATGTTCAACATGCCATAGACTATGTTCAAGACACCACAGGAATACAAGTTGAAAGTGTTAAGCAACTTTACACCAAACCCTCAACAGAAGATGATAACTTTAACGTCTTTAAGACGTCTCACCTCTAGTTTTGAGTCCACATCAGCGTCTCCGGCCACCACAAACTCATCTTCCTTCTTCCCAAACTTCTTGATGAGTTTCTGTTTTGTCTGCCAGTACTCCTTCTGGATCTTACTGACTCCCGAGGTGTTTCCCTCGTCCCGAACAAACCGGTCGTATGACTCACCGTAGGACGGTCTGTAACTACAAACATAACATCACTGTACACTACAACAGGACAGGGCCTGATAAATGTCTGCCAGTACTCCTTCTGGATCTTACTGACTCCTGACGTGTTTCCCTCGTCTCGAACAAACCGGTCGTACGACTCACCGTAGGACGGTCTGTAACTATAAACAGGACAATGTCTGATTCCTAACGTGTTCTACTCTCGTACAAACCAGTACAAACCGGTCGTATCACTCACCATAGGAGGGTCTGTAACTATTAACAGGACTGTCACAATCGACAATGACTGATAAACTGACTCCCAAGGTGTTCTACTCTCGTACAAACTGGTACAAACTGTTACAAACCGGTTGAACAACTCATCATAGGAGTTAGGAGGGTCTCTAACTACAAACAGGACTGTCACAATGACTTATACACAAATGGTTTGGAACTAACAGTACATGGAAAGGAGATGCAACTCATGTCAAGTAACTCAAGAGACTTGATACTACTCTCCAAGCAGAGGTTGGTGGGGGAAGATCGTCACCGTTTTATATATGCCTCGTTTTTTTTTGTCGCCCCCCACCCAACCTCTGCCCCGAGTCGCAACCTGAAAGGCTATTAACAGCTATTTGTTACCCTATCAAACCTCACTTAACAAGTAGTGGCGACTTCACTTGGCGCGTAGGTGTGAATTACGCCCTCCCGGCCAGGGAAACCAAAATTCCAACTTCCGGCTGGCGACACGGCCTGGCGATTTTCCGTTACTCGCCTGTTTCCGCTCAACTCAGTTTGAATGTCTAACGGACGGGACCGACATGGAAGACAGAGTCAAGCGTGTTTTCAAAGACGTCTGGGGGTTTGAGGTCCGTCCCGACCAGCTGAAAGCCGTTTTGGCGGCCTTAGAGGGCAAGGATGTTTTCGTTGGGATGGCGACAGGGAAGGGGAAGTCCCTCTGTTTTCAGAGCATCCCCCTTTGCCTAACAGAACCCAAACTTGTTGTGGTTGTTTCGCCGCTTCGTGCCCTCGTCAGCGATCAGGTATGACAGTGTTTTCATTTTTTTCCATCTTGTTATTACAAAGTTTGATTGATACAAATGAGTTTTGTTTACAGAATCGAGCGACCAATGTATTACGGGCCACTGGTGTAACACAGTACGTTGTTGTCGTAACTGCGGCGATTGAAAGGGGGAGGGGGGCGACATCCAGTATTCAGCGATTAGCTTTTCAAAAATGTCGTCAGTAATACTTTATGTGTGGAATTGAAATTGCTTACCTGTCTGAGCTTCTTTCTATGTCTTGATACTGTTCAATGTAAACCAATTTGCTAATGGACATGTAATGTGTTTGTCAAGTCCTTACCTTGTTTCTCGTGCAATGTTTAGAACATCAAATATTTTGTCATAACTTTTCCGTGGTGTATCCCTAATCACGTCTGTTCAGTTGGTCACAATCCTCTTGGTGCTGTTCAATTCTTCGCCAAATAACAACATACCGTGATAACTGGTACTAAACTTATGTATGTTATTTTACAGATCCACCGTTTCCAGACAGTCACAGGATATAAGGGGATCCACCTGAAAAGCGCGGCGGACATCAGAAGCTTCAGGGAAATCCCCGACAAGGACGTTCGTCTGGGTAAGTAGCAAAAAAATACATTCCCAACATTGAACACAATAGACACAAATCATGAATTACCAGAGAATCAATAAAGAATAAGAACCTTTTTGACTTAACATTTTTTTGGGATTGATAATGTCAATAGCTGTTGACAAGTTTTCTTACTCTTTAAATTTCAGTTTTCATGGCTCCTGAGGAAATGACCTCATCTGAGGGGAGAAGTCTTCTGGACAAGCCTCCACTCCCAATTGCACTGGTGGCTGTTGACGAGGCTCACTGTATTCCAGAGTGGTCAGTGTCTATTAACTAGTCACAATCAGTCTGAATAATAAACATCTTCGTCATTGATGCGCTTAAGTACCACTGTACAAAGAAGATTAGAACAACAATTTGATCTTTGCAAGTTCAGGTGTATGTCTATAATGTCTTCAACAGAACAAATGATTCAATAATTAATCAAGATCACTTATCACATCAAGGTTCAATGCACAGGCAAAGATTTCACAAGGCATAGTTTAAGTAATCACAATACATACAAGCAAGGTCATAAAAAAGGTACATGTTGTAGCCAAAAACACAGTTTATTTACAATACTACAGAACCATTTTTTTACATTCTTGGTCACATATACAAAGTAACGCTTTGTGCTTTTGTCACAGGGGAACAGACTTCAGGACTGCCTTCAAAAACATTGGATCGCTGCGGGCTGCACTGCCAGGAATACCTTTCATGGCTTTGACAGCTACAGCAACCGCAGCAGTCCAGAAGGCAGTAGAGAAGGCGCTACATATGAGTGACATCATGCATCCCAACAAGGTCCCGACCAGAATCATGGGGAGCCTGAACAGGGACAACATCTTCTTGGTCCGGAAGAAGGTCAAGAGCATGAAGGTACTATCATACACAAATCATTATACAAATATGGTCTCAAAATACATTTCTCTTAAACTCAATAACCAAAGTTACCTTCTATAAGCATAGAATCATGAGCATACATATATATTCATGTGCCCATTTCAAATACCAATAAATTTAGCAGAATGTGTAATGTATGGACTTGTTTCATCAGTTCACACAAACTTTTCTTACATTTCTTGCAAAATACAGCATGTTGGTGACATTTTGTATTAATTACAGGAGGACCTTGGTCCGCTGATCAACATGATCAGAGAAGCCGAGGGTCCGGCGAACATAGACAAGCACATTGTCTACCTCGGCAGAAAGCAGAAGCTGATGGACGTGTGGGGCCTGTTGGTGTCTTCATGCAAGCCCACCACCAAAGGCTCGGTACGGGCCTTCCACGCCGACATGTCCCCGAAGGCGAAGGAAGACGTGCTCCAGGGGTTCAGGGAGGGCAGGATTCGAGTCATTGTCGCTTCTGTTGCATTTGGCATGGTATACAATAGTCATTATTTCTTAAATTTTACTTGTAGGGGTTCATTACATGGGAACTGACAGCCTGAAGCCTTAATGTATCAAAGTTGAGAAACAGCAGGCCAATAGTTGTAGGCCAGTAGCAGTCTGGAGTACTAGTATCTTAAAAAATGGCATTGGAATGATCCATGACATAAAGGCCTTGACACTGTGGGATATAAGTCATCTATCAAGTCTGTGAAACAATTGTGAAACACCTTTTAAACTAAAGTAATGAAAATGTTACTTTTGTATGAATTTGACATCAATATTTAGTTGCAAGTTGCCTGCATACTCCCATGTGGTACGTTTAAGGGGATGAATGTTTATATAAAAGTCATGCTTCTTCTAATTGCATCAATATTTCTCTTATAGGGCATCGATGTCCCCGATGTGAAGGGTGTCGTAGTGTACGGGATGCCGTCCACCACTGGCCAGCTCTACCAGGTAAAATGGCTTTTGATACTGTAATTCACCCCATACACATAGAATTTGTTACAATAAGTTACTTTCTACAACATGAAAATGGCAAATATAACTTGCATGAAAAACTTGTACATTGAAAATGTATAGTTATCAAAGTAATACAACTATGAAGTCAGATGAATGGTATAATTGTGTAGAAATGATGTATCTGATGAGAGTGGACATGTCTTATTGACACAATCATTTCAACTTCAGCAAATAGGGAGGGCTGGAAGAAAAGGGGACCCCGCCCATGCAGTCTTGTTCTTCAACAAGCCTGACTGGTGTACAGACGGCCCCATGAAAGACCTGTTCAAAGCAGACTGTCTTCGACAGAAACTACTTCATCAACTAGGACAGGAGGGACAGGAGAATCAAGACCGGTGCTGCTCCGTCCACAGCGATGACGACAGCTGCATATTTACGCAAGTGACAGAGGGGCCAGAAAGAAACACAAAGAGAAGAAAGCCACGCCTCAAGCGCAGACAGGACACAAACAATGAAGAAGAACTAAAATCTCAATTATACAGATTGCGAGACCAATGGTATGAGTTGCGACCTGAGCTTGTGTTCATTGGCCCATGCGGCATAATGTCTGATGACACATTAAACAGAATCGCAAAAGACTGCCACTCTATACACACGTGTGAAGATCTGAAACTAGTCAAAGGTATTACCAACATGTCCATTAACAACCTTGAAACCATCATCGCCACCATTGACAGGCTAATCCCAGAACAAAACACTAAGAAAAACAGGAGGCCAGTGCTGCGCGATGTCACAAATTTGAACCAATGATTCATTCTGGGAATAGTTTCATCACGTTGTCACCGAAGGGTCAGTAGTGATTAAAACACTTGTAAGAAAAAGAGTCTCCATACTTAATACAATACATAATTCATTCGTCCATCAAAGCATCTGTGTCTGGGAAGTCGTCATCATCATCAAATAGATCCGTGTCAGTGTCACACTCCACCACAGTGTTTTCTTTTTGGAGGAAGTGTTCTAACCACTTTCCTTCTGTGATTTTTTTGAGACCCTTTGTGACGGGATCTTCGAACTTTTTTCCCAAGAAAAGGAGTCGTCCTGGGTGGACACTGTACACGTTACCTTCAACTAGATGATCTAACATTATTTTAATGTCCCTGTCTGCAGATGGTGACTGTGTGCCTTGTTGTCTGTTTTGTTGCGAACAGCTGTCTGCACAGCTTCCGTGCCTCATCCAATAGTGGAATGGCTAGGGATACTTGCTTTGCTTGCTTGAATGTTACATGCCCGCCTGATCTCTTCAGGACTGTTTTGAGAATCCTCTAGTATTGGAATACAGAAGAGACAATATCAATCACTGTTTTGGTACTTCTATATTAGAGTTTTATGTATTTATATTATATACTGATTGTGTAAGCTACTTTTAAGTGTTATACAAAGATGGAGAGGAATTATGAGGTATGTACTACATGTGACTATATGTCTCTTGGACAGCTATTGTTGATAGCATTGAGGGCATTGACTTTATGTGTCACACTTTGTAAATAATTACTTCATGGCATATGTACATGGCATGGTAATAAGTCTTATTATTTCAATCTGAGCTTTTTAAAAGTGAATACTCCATTAGACTTGATAAATCACTGAATACATACTTGTTGTAATGCTCCACAAGCATGTCTACAGCTTTTCCATGGCCCTGCCTGCCATGGAAGTTCACGGTCCGGTTGTTGGTCGCAAGTGTAGCCATCTCCTCAGACCAGTCTGCTGCCAGATTTTGCCAGAAGGTTGGCAGCCTCTGAGCTGTACTGGCTGCGGCCCGTACCTAGCAATGTTGGCAGCCAGTATCGCCAATGGGCAATAATGGCTGCTCCATTTTCGTACCTGTAGATTTGAGAGACATTGATCAGTATAGACATACTTTCTTTCCTTGCATGTACAATGGTACAATGTCTTCAACAGGATAGCAATCTTAAAAATGTATGTAAATTGTGTGAAAAGAAAGTGACCTGTACTTGTAGTATGTAAAATTCCTATTTACCAAATAAAAGGAATAATGACAAGATATATCTTGCATGTTCTATTGTCATGGTAAACAACTACTTAAAAGAACAGTATATGCATGGCACGTGTAACACGAGTTAAACCTATAATAGCTACACATTTATACACTTGTATCTTACTTGATGGACTGGCGGAGGTCCACATACAGCATCAGATGGTACAGCAAGGATGTGGACAGGGAGTGTATTGAGTCATCAGCCGTGCACCCGTGTTTCTTCTTAAACACAAATGCCTGTAGAAAGACTTGCTGATGTCGTCGATGCTGTCCTCATCCTTGTAGTCGTCTGCTGTAGACTCCATCTCCATGTGTGTCAGCAATGCTGCCGTCAAATGGGCGCTGTGAGCATGGTGCAGGAATTCATCGAGCACGTTGAAGTTGCTTCCTGTAAAGCAGCATTAAAGACATTGCAGAACATTGTAATTGAATGAAGCTGACATTTATTCAAACACTGGAAACACATTGCACTCATCTAAAGTAACCATTCATGGAAGTCAACAGTCACATATATTCAGATTTGAATACAACACCTGGAGTGACTATTCTCAACAGTTTAATTCAAATACCAATCCTGTGAGACAAGTACAAAAATGACAAGAAGTACCCTTTAAATCCAAAGATCTCCTGTCCACAAGGTCTTTAAGGAAAGCGATGGACCCAGTGCTTCTTGGAGAGGACCAGTGGGCGAGTAATACACATCTTCCCACTTCCCAAAGGAAGTGGAAATCTCCTGAAAAACACAATGACATGTACATTGCATGACCATTACAACAACCTTGTGTGTTGACAAAGGGCTGCAATTTACTCTTGTCAAACAAGAATGTGCTGCCATATATTGATTAAGGAACACAAAAATGGCAAAGTTAATGTTATTGTGCATACCAGGACTTTCCTTGGCCCACCCAAGCTTCTCCAAGGGACCAGCAGGTCAGTCCTGCCGCAACCTTTTGGCCCCTCGGATGTTCTTGCATGTCGCCTGATCTCCTATCACCAACTGTTGTAAAATAGATGAAAGAACTGTAACAACTGCATGTAACAAACATAAGCAGAGATGCGCAAGACAAGGGCCAAAAGCACTTGAATCAATGCTGTATTCACAATCACCGAACGAAGAATGAAATGGGTAGTATGTTTAAGCATGAAATATAAACCTTATCAGCTTATGAATAATTACAGAAGTAAGTTATCCAATTCACTGATATCTTTATCTTGTTCTCTCACTTTCAAGTCTTCCTATAATATAACATTGCAAAATCATTAAAAGATTTATTTGTCTGACCTTTCTAAGTATAAGAAATAAGAATCTTGACAAATAAAAAATGAACACTCTAACCTGATCCCACAATTCTTGGCCCATTTTTGCTTCACTGGCAAACTTGGTCAGAATTCTGACGTTGTCCGAAGTTTTAGATTCATCTTCGTCTAGAAGCTCCATGGGCCTGTAGGTTGTCTTTGGGACCCAACGTTGGGCAGGAGCAGCGTGTTGCACTTCAGAGAAACTCTTGAAGTTTGACACCAGGAAGCCTTTGACTGCTGTGACAAACCTATCCTGTAGCTGCTGGGTGTCCTCTGCACTTGCCAGGATGTCCCATGTAGACAGGTCCCTCCTGTGACCCTGAAAATAAGTTAACAACATTTACCATAAAGAATTGTTGCAGTATATGGAAAACAGGGAACAACAGACTCTAAATAGATAGTGAGTGTGAGTGAGTGTGATACATTGAGAATCATGTAACCATTAATAGTTATGAAAGCTACTATTCCAACATCATGTCAACCTAGTTACCATACATTATATTAAGATGAAGTAATTTTAATTTCATTTTTTTATGTTATTCTATTTACATTTTTCTGGACAGGGCATGCATGTAAAGCAGTGTGGTAAGCACTGAGCATAGCCTACACTGTATAAAGAAAACATGTAAAGATACAATAAGTACCTGGGGTATGGACGACAGTACCTCCTGGCTCTTTCTTAAGGGTATCGCCAGTCGCGATGTCCAATTAAACATTTCAGCATGTCTCTCTGAAAAAAAAGCAAAAATGTAGAAATTGAATGCCAGACATGAGTCATCATACAGGCTGGTCTACTACTGGTTTAACTTTTGTTTAGGAGCATAAAACATGCAGCTGATGTGACAACTACATGCATATAACAATATATGCAGTTGTTATGCAGTCCACCAGAAATAGCAAATACATACTTAAAAATATAGCTACACTACTAGTAGTAATGAATGGCTTGCTGTACCTTTCCTCACTTGTCTTATCCTCTTCAACATATTTACATTGTCATAGGTCCACAGTTCATCCTTTGACAGCGAGGTGGTGGTCCCTGCATCTGCAAAGTCCTTTATTGTCGTCCAGACTGTTGTGCTCGAAGCACTTAAACCGGCGTGGTTTAAGATTTGGATGACCTTGTGAAATAAAAACAATTGACATTTAGGTCAAGAAGGTAGCATATCAATTCTCATGCAAAATCACCATAACATGGGTATGATTAGACCTACTAGTATATGACATGTAATAAACAATACTACATGTATGAATGGAACCCTATCATGTGACTTTCATAGATAACATAAGTTCCTTCAATCATTACAATTAGAATTGCAATGTAAATAGCAATAACAGTTTACACAAAAATAAAAGATACAGAACCTGGTCACTAGATGTTCTTGCAACCAGCATTAGTCCGATTAGTGTCTGTAACCCATTTGCCCGTCTGTTCCTGTGATTTGCAATTGCAGACAGCAGGATGGTTGCAATTGAACTACACCGGTCAGTCTCTCTGTCATACTGTGGTGATGTGAGTGTGGATATGAGGCTGTAGAGTGTTGGTGCTTCCCGTTTCAGGTAATCTGTAGTCTGCTGGGGAGAGATGGCGCGAATGTCTTCGATAGATTTTACACGGATTGACAGAGGGCTTTTGGTGTTGCATATTGTCTCTACTTCAGACCGAAGCTGGACATTGATGTCTGTGGGGTGTAAAGACCTTTCTGCCTCCAACTGCTGGGATAGAGATATATTCAAAGCCCGGACATGTGCAAGTTCTTGTTCATATTTCTTGATGATGGAGGTGACATCTTGGCTGCTGTAATGTGCACTGACTGGTTGGCAGGCCGCACTGAACGGTTGGTAGGGCTGGGCCGCACTGAACGGTTGGTAGGGCTGGGCCGCACTGAACGGTTGGTAGGGCTGGGCCGCACTGAACGGTTGGTAGGGCTGGGACGCACTGAACGGTTGGTAGGGCTGGGCCGCACTGAACGGTTGGTAGGGCTGGGACGCACTGAACGGTTGGTAGGGCTGGGACGCACTGAACGGTTGGTATGATGAACCGACTGGATGGTGGGGCACACTGACTGCTTGGCTGGTTGGTAACGAGTCCAGTCCCTTCTGTGTAGATGTATCCTTGATGGAAATTCCCTCGTACAATGTACTTGTCTTTCCCTTGCCATGTGTGACTCTAACAGTTGGGAAGACATGCTTCACAAACTTCCCAACCTGTGATGGAGTTAGCCTGAAGTCGAACAGGATTCTCTCGACTGTACTGTGTTCGACTGTGCCAGTGGTTTCCAGGCAGATGGTGCTCTGTATCCTATAAGCAAACAGTTTGTGATTGCACTATTACTAAAACATATTGTATTATTTTTGCAGGCTACAGATAATTACAGTATCTTCATGTACTTACAATACATTGATAAAAAATTTTACCTTGCTGTCAGACTCGATGAAATTATTCAATAATTACTTGATAATTATCCAATTATTATGGACGAGCTTAGAGGCAACATGAATTGAAGAAACAAGTTCTTAATGGTCAATATTCTTTGCCAACGACTGTTGTCCGCGTCCATTTTAATACGCCCCCCTCCCACAGAAAAATACGTGCCCTCCCTTTTCCTCCGAAAAAAACATGCAAAACAATGACACTGTGCTCTTCACCATTCAATCAAACGATATTCGACGTTCTCCAGACATACACCGACAGGTATCGTAGGTCCTTCTTTATCCATCGGCAAATTTCGCTATCTACACAATGCCATGTGGTAGAGATATCCAAACCGTAAATTATTTTTTATTTCTTGCCGCCGACGAACGTGCAAATAGTAAATTGGTTAAGTACCTACCTGTCCACTATCCTAGCTTCCAACGCCATGGGTGCCTCGTTCATTCACCATACAGGACGGGCTCACAAAATTCACATGGCAAATCAGAAACTTTCCGGAATAAGAAAAATATTCGCGGGAGTTTGTCCTGGTAAACAAGTATGGCGCGAACAGAAAGATAGAATGCACCGCATCCAAACATAAAGGTAAGAAAGAAATAATGACCAGAAACACTTAAAATCTATGAATATACGTAACGGTAAAATAGAATATTTTAATATAATTTGAAGAACAAATTCATATTTTATTGTGTTGATTTTGAACCTCTATATAATAATTATAAACGTAAACATGTTTACTATGCTACGTTGTGATGCTGTTCGGTCAGATGGAGACATGCTAATGAGATATGCGTGGTTGACTGGAGTCGTCCCGCAGCGCGCTGGACACCCTTGTAAAACTATTTCCGCTCCCAGCTCACAGATTGCGGAAAATAGGGGCACGGGGAGGGACTTCAACACATTTCTCAAAGAACTACTCCTCCCCTTGTCCTTTCAGGTTGCGACTCGGGGCAGAGGTTGGGTGGGGGGCGACAAAAAAAAACGAGGCATATATAAAACGGTGACGATCTTCCCCCACCAACCTCTGCTTGGAGAGTAACTTGATACCACACACAGATCTGAATACATCTTTAGATGTGCCATATCTCACAATGCACAAATAGGTAATTACATCGAAGACTGCTTTATTACCAGAGAAGACACTGAAACCCTTGATTAGCCAAAACTGATTGCAACAAGACATCACATGGCCCTTTTTCAGGTTTATTTGTATTTCTACTTTTTAGTTTGTGGTTGACCATACAAATGTTGCTATTCCAGTGTTTTTTGTTATGTCAACAAAGTTGGAATCACACAAGTCTGTGGGATGGCCTGTTACAAATAGGAGACAACATACAACATGGACACATTTCCACTGTCAGCATTGTAATATAACATTAGCTCAAAGACCAATATGGGTGCAGCCCACCAAAATCATGCAAACATTAAACTTCCAGTGACTGACCTTAACATCCATTGCCTTTTTGATGACCTGTGTTAAAGTTTATAGATCTCATACTATAGCACAGACAGTCCATCATATTACATTATTGGAAAAAAGTGATAAACATGTAATTTCTCATAAACATGTGCACTGTTAGTTGATAACCCACAATCAGAACCCAGACCATCCTTCATTCCTTGGCTGGAATTTCACCCCAGTTTCTTTGCTAGTCTGCCACCAAAGTCAGAACCAAGACCACCCTTGCTGCCATTTCACCCCAGGTCATAGCTATTCTGCCAGACTTACAGAGGAAGCCTCCTCATAGTTCAGTTCAGATTGGGCCTTAATTTGTCAGTGATTCAGCGTCTGGTCTGGTCATTTACAGCAGGCTGGATCCATGTTAGGCCGCGCCACCGAGCCGAGAGGGGGGGGGGCAGACAGATTAAAACAGGATTGGTTTTTATGCCTCGTGGATTTGGGGGGAGTTACGAGGGCAAACTTGACGGTTCTGTTTGCCGAATAACTTTCGAACAAGATTGATTCTGTGTAAAATTGCGCATGTAACCAATAAGATTCTCATCTAATGTTGGTGGATTTCAAGCAAATATAAATTTGTCTGCTAGTTTTTATGCCGTGTGGATTTGGGGGGAGTTACGAGGGCAAACTGGACTGTCTACATGGTTGTTGGCCAATAACTTTGGTACAAGATTGAGTCTGTAACCAATATAATTCTCATCTAACGTTTGGTGGATTTCCAGCAAATAAAAATTTATCTGGTGACATTAATTTGTTTTGTAATAGACTTTGTAAAAGATCAATTCAGTAGAAAATTGCATCAGTGTTTCAATTCAAAGAAAGTCTGGTCTAACATTTGGTGGCCTTAGTTCATGGATTCCAGTTAAGGATACATTTGTCCACAGACAGTAATTTGTTTGGTAATACGTTCGGTGTCAGATCAATTCAGTAGAAAATTGCATTAAGGCTCTGAAACCAATACTGATCTAATTTTTGGCACCCAACTGCTTAAGTTTAATTTTTTTGCCACTGGCTTTATATTTGGAAATATATTTGCATGAATCCAATTTTCATAATGTAAAAACTCCATAATGATAAATCATAGAGGACTGGGATTGAGGGTACATCTGATATCAAAGTGCCTCTGTCTGAGTGTACAGGTTGTTTTACTATGCCCAGACACAAGTCACATTGGCAATATAGTCTTTCATAGCATGCTTTAGTCTATTCTATGCTTCAGATATGCACTGTGACAAAATAACCACCATACATTCTTGGTCTTTTTACATTCTATTATGCATGTAGACTCTTGTCTAGGTCACTGTGGATTTAGTATAGCAAATATCTAGGTCAAAATTTCACTTGTTTTAGTATATCCCTATGATAAATATTTGGTTTGAATCAAAATAAAGAATTCTATTCAATAGCAATATTTTACACTTTTGTGAAAAGAACAATTCTTGTCATTTTTAAAATTCGTCGAGTTATTGAGAAAACCAAGCAACAAACAGAACTCACCTGTCCATATTGACAGCAATATTTCAGCAATGGAACAGCAACAGAATAGCAATGAGACAGCAGTGGTACAGCAATGGAACAGCAGTGGTACAGCAGTGGTACAGCAATGCTACAGCACAGGGGACAGGAACAGCACTTGGCGACCTTTCTTCCTCAGAACTTGCAGAAACCTTGGCAGCCTTCCAGTCCTGCAGAAGATAAGAAGTAACAAACTACTTAAGGTGCCAGACAGGTGGGTAGAACTAGATTGGATTTTTTTTACACCAGATTCATCAGCAGTGTAATCTTATCACTCTCCTCTCTAAGGTTCAATGTCTCCAGTAGAACATCACTTGAATGTATCAACACAGTCTGCTGTACATGTATCTAATAAAGGATGAAACAAAATCTGCACTTTCTTTCTGCAAACCTGCCACATTGTTTTTGTCACTGATCAAATGCTGGCAAAATATGTACACATATCACATTAACAATGTCCATTTTTAAAAACTACCCAATACATATCTTGAATGTAAAATGTATGCATGACCAAACCTTCTTCAAGCCCACATTCATGACCAGGTAGATAAACTACAGACTTGGGAATCATATAGTGTCTACTGTGTTCTCCAATCTAGCAACCAACCATCTAAAATATATAAAAAAACTGCCTTTTAGACCACAATTATGGCAAGTAGAAAGTCAGATGGACAATTTACCCCAGGAAAACTCCCAGAGTAATTTTACAGCCCAGCCTATAGGATAGTTACCTGATGACAATGTGCACATTTGTAGTGATTATTTACTGTCTATATGAGCCTGGTAAAGGTTAGGAGACTGTTAACGGGACAGTCAGGAATTCCACCGGCAGTTTCACTCAGGAGGAGCCTGGAAGATTGCTTCTTTTCTCATCGCGATAATCTATAGAAAATCTCAGCTCCTATTTTCCAAAGCCATTAGCAGAGCTATTTGTGAGAGGAGACAGGCAGAAATGTTCTGGTTCTACATAAAACGGTTGGAGAACAGGTTTAGTTCAGTTTTCAGCTGCATACAAAATTGCATGAAAAAGCTGCAAATATGATCATGGTACGAATGGAAATTTTGCCTGTGTTAGTTTGATATTCAGATATATGTATGTTTTTCATATCTTTCATATCCAAGCGTTATATTCAGATATATGTACGTTTTTCATACCTTTGACAGCTAGAAATTACTGCAATCATTTTGCTCTGGCAATATTAGATTTCTGAATAATAAATCACACAAGAAAAAGATATCTGAATTGATTATAACCATTAGAAACTACCCATCACACCTTTCAGCACCAAGGACATCTACAGCAGCTACAGCAGACATATGGCACTATTAGCAGGGCTCAATCTTGGAGTTGTGCACCTAGTTCTTTTCTGTGGGTGCACCAGTGCACACAAATATTTTTGTAGGTTTACATATGTAAAAATTTAAGTGTATTCTACTATATGTAGCATATTCTTGAATGGAAGTGTCAGAAAAATGATAAAATCATTGTTGTAGAACTTTTCTTTATAAATGAAGCATAGTTAGTGTTTGCTGACATTCTAATTTTATATGGTGCACCAAAAAATTTTTTGTGCTCCCAATTTTATAGGTTAAATGCACCAGTGCACCTATTCCAAAAAATGAATTTCGAGCCCTGCTGGTATTAGTAAGGTATGCCTGAGCTGAATATTTAACAAAGAACTACATAGTAGATGCATGGAGGACCCCTTCTCTAGAAATTTCAAATATCAAGAAATTTGAATCCCAAATCCTCCCTTTCCATGAACTGTATGTGCCCTGCAGTTTCAGGCAGACATATACCATACAGCACTGATGATTTGATTTGAATTATTCCTGCTGTGTGAAAAATTATCATTACTTTATCTAATCACAGTTGACAGCCGTGTACATTTGTCTGTGTCACTGTCAGTCCATTCTTCAAGTTCACAGTCACAGTAATGAAGGGTTCCGGCTCACTGGACCGGTTCATCACTCTTAATGGCTTATAAACAATAAACCTGCACAGCTTGAAGTCACGTTTATTGTTAATCCTACGTATCAAAGTCTCACTATGTTCATAATGAAGCAATCATTTCAACAATATTCAGCAATGTATTTTATAGCTTTAGGGTTTTTGTGAGTGCAGAATGCATGTATCATGGCTCAGAGGCTTATAAATGAAACATGTGAAAGAGGGAGTATCTTAGTCCAATCCTGAAATCATGACATGAATATTCACTATTCACCCTCTTGATATACATTTACACCTATGTCCTAATATCTTTTGTCTGGTTCTGATTCAAATGTGTAGTTGTTATCAAGGAGAAAAATCAACAAAAAATGGAGGAAAAGAAAAAGGTGCATGTGTACATTTTGTACATCTCAAATGTAATGTCACTTGTGGTTGTTGTGCCTTAGAAAGCTGTTTGCACAGGTAAGGTCCAATCTGTCCCTATTATATTTGTTTTAAAGCTGTTTTGTTTATCTCTAATTTGTTTATCTGATTAGAACTAAACTCCAAAGATATTGAACAGGAGTCCCAAATCTTACCCAACCACAGAGGAGGCAGCTAAAATCCACAGTCAATATTGACTTTCCACTTGAGAAGTAGGAGGGAGTCTTGTTTATTCAGTCTGGGTGAGAACAGGGGTACTGATAATGGGTTCAGCTATACATATGGCCGACACATTAATATTACATTACTTATCATATGTTATAAGTACAAAGGAACATTTTCAGTACATACAGAGCTTATGTATGTACCTAAGATTGATAAAGATTTACAAAAAAACATACACAGTACAAAGATTACCTTACTGAAGCTTCTTGTAATATTTTTCCAGAAATGTGGAAAAATAATTGATACAATGTCATGCACATGAGCTAACCATTCATCAAGTATGGTTACTGGCATGTGGATTTCATATATGCACATGAAATTTTGTATTTGTTATATAATATCATGGTACATTGGAATAATAATATCACAATCAAAAATCAATGCTAGAGTCGTCCATAATCTCTGTCGTATACCTAGAGTGGTAAATTTTTGTTAACAAAACATAACTTATAAAAGTACACAGGCATATGACTCATGTATGTTGTGTCTGTGTTCACACAGACATCCTTTAAATGTCAAAGGTTTCACATAGCTCATGTTTAGGTCAGCCTTGACTGTCAGCCTCTCCTGTTCACACACGGACAAAGGTCCTTACTGGTGCATGACTGTGACGTTCTCAACCCAGCCGTGGGGTCAAAATCAACATTGTGTCATAATCCCTAAAACTACACACCTTTACAAGAAACAGGTTAAAAACTACAGGTTATTTTCATTACTGGAGGTTTTAAAACATCAAGATTTATAGTCTTGTATAATATAATTCCCATCTATGTAATTTGCAGACTTTTACCTTAACAGTAAAACTTAAAGACAAACATTTACAAGTTGTTAACAAACACAAGCAACACAGTAATTTTCATCCTATTTTAATGTGAATGTAATGACAGCTTTCCTCTGTATGGGGTGTGCGTGTGTGTCATGATGTCAATTCAAACCGCTGATTATCTGAACAATAAAGAACCTAGCACACTTTGGAGATGAGTAGGGTTGACCCAATGTACTTGGCTAACTAAATACACAAGCCATATATATATAATACAGCCATATTGTACCCATAGCTTTTGAAAAGCCATGCCAAAAAGCTATAGATAAATAGAACATTATGCTTCACAATATCAAGAGTTATACTTCAAGTTCGGCCCGCTTTTATTTGGCCTTTTCATACCACTGTAGCTGTAGACTGCCGATATGTTACAAATCACAGACCAGTTTACTGTATCCATCTTCATGTAAACAGCTGATCTTGTTACTCCCTATTATAGACCAGGACACCTGATATTCGTGCTTTGTGTGTCGGCTCCATGATCTGTTGACCTGTGTCCATAGATATGGGGTCCATTTTCACACCTGCCATTTTCTCCCTCTTCTGACTATTGCGAATGATCATTAGTCTCCATAAGGTAGGCTTACAGTAGGCTTAACGTGTCAGTGTAGCTGTAAATTCAGCACACAGTTTTATCAGAGGAAAGTGCGACTGTTTGGCTGTACTGTCCCAAACAGTAGGGAATGGTGTCAGATGGGCCTATAGTATCTAGGTGAAGTCACTTGTGACCTTTTCAACTGGACACATTTCTATTTGCAAGACTTAGTGTTCACTATAGACAGGATTCTTACCGCTTCTGAGTACAGGAAAATTATCTAAGGGACCACCAAAAAGTGGTCACAATGGCCAGGTGGTTATTTTTTTGTTTTGTTGTGATCCTTAGTATGTACAGGTTTGACCAAAAAGACTCAGTTATAACGTTATATGACAAGTGAACTAAAAATGTAACGTTACATCTTACATTGTCAAGAAATAGAATTTCACTGTTATGAACTACAAAACAGACGTAGACTCCAGGTGAGTACACCTGTGTGAGTCTCACCTGTACAGGTAAGTCTCACCTGTGCCAGGTGTTCAGCTGACCAGTCCGCACCTGACACGTCTGTCCTGGCACCTGCAGGTCACCCGCCTACGTACGGCGTCACACTAGCAGATCCGGTTCACGGCCAGACCACAATCCCGCATTCCCCCCGAGTTTTCGCCCGTGAAATGCGGTTTTACACGGCTGCTAACAAACCCTGCAGTCTGCCTGACGTCCCTACCCGCCCTGAGCGCCCGTCCCAGCGGTTTACTGTCCCGATTTGTCACGTAAACCCTGATATCAAACGACTGGCGAACATCAAATTTTCAGCCAGCAAAACAAAGGCACACCCCCCGACATATTGGCCCTCACAAAAGCAGTTTCTATGCCAATAAATCACATTTTGGTCAGTTTTGCTTCTCACTTAACTATTAAACTTATCACTGAAAGGACCGATCTGAAATTTGTAGGAAGAGGTCGACAGAAAACGATAAAAATCCGCCTACCTTCAGCGCGAATTTTCCTTCCCATTCCCGGCCGCCATGATGGTTGTTGACGTCACAGCTCTTGTTCCCATTAACAAGTGGTTGGTTGGCTCTCGTACGCAGGGAAATTATTCAACATTTTCTAAAAAGAAGACCAAAGATACGTAGAACTATTGAATGATATCAATATATTTATCATAGTGTGTCCCTTGAGTAAACTTGTCCTCTTCTTCTGACCAAAATAAGCTTCTTATGATACGGAAAGGTCAACAACGAACCTGGGCGTGAGAGTACGTTTTAAATCACGTGATGTTCACCTCTGCCCCAGGGTACCTAGCAACAAACAGGTGGTTGCGAATTTATCTATATATATATTCTATACCTTTCATTTGATATAAACTTACAAAACTATGCCATTGAATCAGTTTGAATATTTTCTTATTAGCAGTGCAGCTTGTGTTAGTGATATTGCAGCCATCGAAAAATGTTGAAATGCCAAAATAACGAATGTCGTCGTTTTTCTTCTTATCACACATAGGGGAATTAATTTCTATTTGATTAAAAAATGTTCGAAATCAGAGATCTGCTCAAATCGATGAAATTCCACCATTTTTATCAACTTCTGTATATCATGATTTGCTGCAGTACCAACTGCTACCGTAGGCCGGAGATAGACTATGGGCGCCGCCTGGCGTTGATCACAAACACTGCAATAGGGCAGCTCACTCATGCTACTTATTCGATCCGAAATTCAAATATCTGCAAACTATTGAACTTCTTTGCAGTTCAAGTTTAGGCATTTTTTCACTCTTCAAAAAGTTTTCTCCGTGTTGGTGGTTATGGCGTTTCCGTTGAGTTCGGACAAGTTATGTCTACTGCTAATTAATGCCAGTGGCACAACACAAAGTAAAGCCAGGCCAGATGTGTGCAGCTGCCGCCGCAGCTGCCACGGGACAGCATTTCAGAAACACCGTATGTTCCTTCATGGAAATATTCCAAAGTTTCGATTTAGCCGCATCGTCCTTTCTGAAAATGTTAAGCATATCCCTTAAGTCACTGTAAATATATAAAACTTTTTTAAATTTGGCGAGAATAGTCACAGCGAAAAACACCAGTTGATATCTACACGCAATGAAGTGCAATAAAAATTGGACTTAATTTTGACAAGCTAGCTAGTCAGAATAGTCATAAGGAAAAGAAAATACGGATAATCGACTACAAGACCTGGCCGAATCTAGGCCATGTTCGGTCAGTCACCTTCTCTTTCCACATTTGGAACTCCGACAATTCGTTACGGTGATATTTTGGGAGTTTGTAAGTAAAAAGACCTTTTGCACATTTTGCACCGAACGGGTCAGAATGGGGAACACAGCGACAGTGGCCCAGACAACAAGTTCTAACGATGCGCCGAAAGAGAAAAGTTCCTGGTTTTCACCAACAAAAGAGAAGCCGCGCTACACGTACGGTGATGACAGAAGAGAAGTCGAGAAGATACCGAACACCGAGGACCAAGTATTCACAGAAGGAAGATTGAGATTCTTACAGAGATGGAGACTTGGGCGGAAAGGTAACGTCTGGATAAAATCATCTTAAAATCACTTCTGCGTTTCCCCCTTTACCCCGCGTTTCCCCCGCTTCTTTTGCGCAAAGTTCATCCCCCCCCCAATAAAGATGATTTAAGCGCACTTCAGTGCTTTGTGCCTGGAAACTAATAGAGTTTGTTCCATACGGTATGTGTATCATCTTAAGATCACCTGACTGCGCTGCCCTTTACGTAAAATAGTACTTTACTTATTGTGCGCGAAAGTCAGACCCCCCCCCCTTCCAATTAAAAGAATTCCGCGCGCCTCAATGCTTTACGCCTGGAGACTAATAACAGGACTTCTGGACGTTGGGTTCTAATCACAGACTGAACATGAAAAGTAATGATTACTAAGCAAATCTTTCAAGTCGCTAAAGATGAAAGGGATTCTAGAGACTGACTTTGGCGCTCGGGTTCTCTAAATGAACATCAGAAATTTAATTTCCCTTGCCTACTGGCCGGATCAAAATGTGCGGAGGTGCTTTACGTACCGCTTAAGCCAACTGTGCTGATGTCATTACCCGGTCCAACACTACCTATTCACATATACACGACTACAATCACATTTTCTCTCTCCTTCCCGTGTTGTTCACATATTTCCTTTCTATATCCTCATGTTATACTGTGTCATACGTTGGCCACCTGTACCCCCCCCCCCAACGTTGGATACAGGCGGTCAATGGATACAGGTGGCCAACATGAATAGATTTATATTTCTGATGCGTCTAGACAAACCCTGTATCACAACCATGATCTGTTCCCACATTTTCCATTGTACAAAAAAGCGAGAAGAAGTTGACCACTCTGTATCAGCTCAGTAACTAGAACACTTTGTATTAGCTTAGTATAGTACCCTTGTATGTTCCTTATGTATGTTTTCTACACACGTTTGTTATGTGTCTGTTAAGTCTTGACCTGTACCTAGCCCGTCGTGGCATGAATGTACAATAAAGGTATTTCATTTCAAATTTTATTTCATAAAGGCCCACCGCATCTGCTTGGAGACTAGTAAGAGCCCCCCCACCCCCCTCCACCTGTTGCGAGACGCACCTATGCCATTATGCGTCCTGCCAGGGAACGCGGTAATATATGACCGGTTCATGGCGGCACGAGTTTACATTCTGCCGGGTAGTCATGGCGCCTCCATTGTTCCCGCCAACACATCGCTACGGAAACTCAACAACAGTAAAAGCCGATGTTGTGCCGTGAGAAGGACACACGTGTGCGGGCCATTCATTAGCTCCAGGTTACGTACATGTATACTCCGCTCTGTTCACAATACATAATACATGTACACTGTACAGTACAGTACACACACACAGGAAGGTACTGAGTCAGTACCGCTCTCTGTGTACTACTGAGTATAGAGGCGGCTGGTGCTGGGACAAGGCTAGCTGTGTTATGATTTTCTTGCTCCCGATCTTCTGACGGTGTGTCTTTCTCATCATCTTGAGACGAGTGTTTAAGTCGAGCAGGAGGAGTGTCAACGTTGCGTCGACAATGATATGAACGTCCTATGACCAAGATTTTATAGAGTAGGGAGGCGGCTGGGACTGGGACAAGGGAAGCTCTTGCTCCTGATCTTCTAATATATGTGAAGGCTGCTTCGGTGTGTCTTTCGTATCATCTTGAGACGAGTTTTTAAGTCTAACAGGACAGGCATCAACGTGGCGTCTACATACAAGGTTGTGAACGTCTTGTGATCGAGATTTCCTTGGACACATAGGCGCTAGGAGGGCAAGAGCAACAGATGGATACTAGTACCTAGCTCGCTACGAGACCAAAGCTACGAGACGGAAGGCTTTATTTTTATACAACTTAAGGTTTCTTAGGAAATGCATCTGGATAACTATTGACAGGCGTTAGAAACTCTCACTACCAAGTCGTGAAGTGTTTTGTTTTTGATTGGAAAGCGTACAGCACGGTACCCCTACTGACGAGTGGGCGATTCCGAACTTACGTCACATTGACTCAGAGAATCGTCTGATTGGAACGGCGCACTTTGTTCACAGGTGGGACCAGCCTATGTTTATGTGCGTGAAAGTCTCAGTCACGGATGATCTGTTCTTAAGACCACAGGAGTAGCAGTCATGTCTGACGATTCTGACGTCGACTCGCAAAACTCTGACGTCGACGACACGTACGACGCAGATACGTCATCGCAGGGGTCACGCGGGTCAAGTCCTGACGTCGACCCAGAAAAAATCTCAGGTGAGCTTGAAGTTGAAAACAATCTTGGCGACCAAACCGTCTCACCTGAAGAAAGGGAAGAACATTCTGAAGAAGCCAAGAAAGGTAGCAATGCGGGGTCAACGTCCGAACGCACACAAGAGGAAGAAGAAGACAACCCAGGAAGTCATTCCCATTCAGAAACTGGCTCCGTTCGAACGGCGGACAGAGACTCCAGAGCGGGTAGCGCGATGTCGGGGGACGGAAGGACAGACGCCTCGCGGGACGAGGGAAGCAGACCGGCCAGCGCCTCAAGCAGCAGAAATTCCGCTCTAGAAGACAAGGAGATGGCAGCTGGAGAAAACGAGAGAGAGGAAAACTCTGAAGAAGATGGCGAACAAGATTCTTGTGACGGTTCTGAGGATGAGGAAGATGATGTAGATGGAGAAGAAGGAGGGGAGAAGACGCCTGTACCGCAGCTCGAGATCAACATCTTCAGCGGGTCCAGTTTTGACGCGGAGGGGGAGGAGGGCGCGGGGTTGTCCAGGCAGGGCTCGATGGCTAGCCTCTCGGCGGACGGGGAGCGGAGCAGCGCCGGCGGCGGAGCCATGTCGCTCCGCCCGCCCAGCTCCGAGAGCGACCGCCGCTTCCTGGAGGTTCGCCCGACCGGACAGGGGGACTGGAGACCGCCCCAAGGCGACTCCCGTGAACGACATCGCAGCGAGAGCTTGCAAAGCGCCACGCAGGACAGTGAGGGAGAAAACCCTCAAGAACAGCCAAATACTGAAGAAAACTTAAATTCAAAACGTTCTTCCTCAAGACAGAGTGAGACAACAAATCAACGGCGTCCATCCTCAGGAAAAAGTGAGACAAGTCTCCAGCAAAGACCGCTTTCCGCAGAAAGTGAGAACAGAAAACGCAGGAGAAAATCAAGTTCAAAGACCAGCGTAAGAAGTGATGGTGACATCGGCTCAAGGATTCTCTCCACAGCAGAGGACAAAGCATCTTCAAGACCGTCTTCAGGGAGGAGTACATCCAGTAAGAAGGTCACCAGACCCGGCAGCGTGGCTAGTGGGCAGCTGTCAATCAAATCATTACCCGTGGAAGGGAACGCTGACAGACCGACAGTGAACAGACCCAGGAGCGCTGACATCAAGAGAAGGCACACAGAGATGGACAGATCGGGAGAGAACACAGACGGAGAGAACAACACCACGGAAAAGGAGAGACTTGAAGAAGGTGAGATTGAGAAGAAGGAAACTAACAAACCCAAGGAAAACGAAGGACCTGAAGAAGGTGAGAGTAAGAAAACTAGCGACGTTGACGGCACAGACATTTACCACAGCCGTCGCTCGCTCCACTCCGCCAAATCTACCCGATCCTTCCGTAGCATCGCGTCCACACGACTCGACTACCTGGCTGAACTGGCCGACATCAAGGACCAACTGGAGGCTAAGGCGGCAGACTGGGACGGGCTGGGGGAGGGGAACCTGGAAGTTTTCTTGGAGGAGCTGCGTGAACTGTACGGTAGAACCACGGCCGTGCTGAGGAGCAGTCACCGGGACAGCGTCTGTCTCATGGAGAGGATCGTCCAGGTCAGGAAACTGCTGAAGGAGACCAGGAGGAAACTCCGAGACGAGACCAGCGACCGGACTCTTGGTGGTTTGGATGAAAAAGGTGAGATACTGGCGTTCTTGGGAAAACTTGCTTCGATCTGAAAATAAAATCTTCTATTAAAGTCTAATAAATTCCAACTTCATACATAATCTATTTTGATTGTGTAATAATCATAATTCTGTTGACTTTTTTTTTACAGTTTCACCTTTTATGCCAACCTGTGAGTTTACTTTCTCTGAAGTTTATACACAGAGGTCCTGTATACCTATTGTGACAGCGTTAACGTTATTCCACTTATACCGCTACACCTATGTACATGTGCATGCGGTAGCTTTGCTGCCTTTAAACATTCTCTTTCGGGCCCCTTTCTCCCTGTGTTATAGGTTGTTGTTTTTTTCAGCACTAATGTCCCCTATAAACTTCGACCACCTATTGTACGCACCTGTCCTGGTTTACGGCTTTCTGTTTCTGTTTGACACTATTCTAAAATCTCTACAAACAGGATTCCGGTAACCTACATCATCTCTAGTCACACCTGTACACAAGCTTTGATGTTCATCCTCATCACTTTCCTCTTCATCTGAGTTCCGCTTTGTCAGTATTACTGGTTTATCCCTTATGGCCCAGTTATATCTTTTCCATCAACCTGGTTTATTTGTAAACCCTTTCCTCACTTTAGCCAGTACCTATCGCGCCTGTATGAGAAGTATATAAATAGTAAGCCCGCATTTCGCGCCATATTCCATTTGTAATCCGACACCTGCACGTTTGAGCACGTTACCATGACGACCACCACAACAGTGCATTAGCTGTGATACAGACTTTCCACACGTTAAAACATAGTGATAAAAAACTGGGACAGGTTGGAGAAAAGTTGTTTTTTATTTATTTATCAAAACATAACAAGGACAGTGTGGCGCTGCACTCAAGTTTATAACTTATATTAACAGCGCCACACAACAAAATACAATTCACATTTAAATACACAAAGTTGACATATCAGTGCGCCGTAGTCCCACCACCCCAAGACATTAAAAATGCTAATGCTAACAAAGTTATTTGAAAAAACGGTTGTTACGTCTGAAATTAGAGTGCTTTATGATATTTTGATAGCAGACCCCCACCTGTGTTGGTTTCCCTGCCGTTTTAAGTATTGTTGTCCTTTCCTGGCCTTTCTGTCCGTAATGTCAGGGTACTTAATCATTAGTGTCAGCTCGGGAACACTTCATACTTGTATCAACACGGCCCGGTTATGAAAAACTATAAATCAGCCGGGCTATTGCACACGAACTGCCGAATTACCTACTGTAACATGCACAATTTTAGCAACTGCTTTATTTCGAGATCTTAAAGATTTTGTTATGAATCGGTGAAATTCATACTAGAGTATATAACTATATTGATAGTTTAGAAAAATACGATTTTCAGAGAGAAATCATTGATAATTTGTCATACTTTGATAATTGCCAAAATTTTGCCCTGCAAAATCAAAAGGTATCCTTGTATACGAAAATCTCTAGGTCAGCGACCTTCGATAACCAAACATAACTAACTAGTTACTCATTAACCAACCCGTCACTTGTATTTGCCAGCTCACGTGCCGCTCACGTGACGTCAGACCAACCTTCATACGCACGAGTTTGTCCCGGTTTTTTTTTTAATTCCAACATGTAATCACCAGACGTGGTGACGACACACTCAAGTTTTTTCAACTTATATTAATGCCGCCACCAACACAGGGGACAAATACATGACAGGACAATACTCATTTACACCTGAGCTAAGTGAGGAAAGCCGTGTAAAGTGCCTTTCCCAAGGGCACAAGATCGGTGGCATGTCAGGACTCGAACTCGGGACTCAAAGTTCCGAGTCGCGCACTCTGCCGCTACGCCACACGACCCCACATGTCCCGGTTAAACACCCGTCACTCCCGTTACCTAGCAACGCCGTTATTAGACCAGTGGTGAATAATATCAGACGCATTATTGACCACATCCATCTCATTATAATGGATAAATTTGCTCTGATCCTGGATACAGATTTCCGCTATTAGCGCCATTAGTACAGGTCCATAGAGCGGTGAGGTTGACATAGTTGACAGGTCTTACTTAACAGCTTGGGTTGACAGACGGTGAACGCTTGTGTGACGGTCGACATGGGTTAGCCAACTCAACAGAGCTATGGCTGGGGCTTTTTGGGGCTTATGATGTGCCTTTTTTTGCAGATAGGGCGTCTATTTCTACTCCAAGTACAAATAGAAGCCACCAGCAAAGTACAGGCTTCAGAAGCGGTTGAAAAGAGTAGAAATTGACCAAATAGACAGATAACATGCCAGGGGAGTTGGTCTGCTAAAGCGGCAAACTGTACTCCTTTAACGAACTAACACTCTCGGCATGTTATCTGTCTATTTGACCAATTTGTACTCTTTCCAGACCCCTCTGAAGCCTGGTAGAGGCTATTATGAGCCCTTAAAATCTTTTAGTCGCAGAGCCTGCTCCGAGGCTAGCCGCGGAGTCGTGTTAGTGTGAAGTGTTGAGCCTGGGGATCAGCTGTGCACATGAACGTCTGTCAGATCTGCACAGAGACCAGGGTTTAGCGTTAAACGGTTTCAAGTTGTTTGGAAAAGCTCGCACGTAAATGACTGTATTTACTGTAACTCGCTAATGTTTTGCCGCCTTTAATGAGAATGTTTTGAAGAACCGTAGAGCACGGTATTGCAGTGATCGAAGTGTGGGTACAATCAAATAGTATCTATGGCTAGCCTCCGTAGCAGGCTTATAGAACTGGGGGTTTGGTGGTCATCGGCTGTTTTCTGATTAGCCCAGTTCTAAACACGGGGGTAATTCAACCAGGCCAGCTATGTTGTCTATATGCAATCAGACAATAGCACATAAAAGCTCCCAAAGACCCTGAAGACCTCCCAAAACCCCCAGTTTTGGCATCCTATGGAGACTACTCTATGGCGTAGCATCACTAGATCGAACGCATTAAACCTCTTTTGCCTAGTGACGCTATAGCTAAGGCAACTGTTCCGTTCTTATGTACAGTACTTACAAATCTATAATTTGCAAAGTTTGATACAAGCCGGTAAGCTTAAATCTGACCCCCGCTGAACCAACTCAGGTCCGCTCCTATCCTGTTATACAGGCGAGCAGAGAAGAGCCTAGCTTAAAGCCTGGCGGACCACTTTAGCAGATCAACACTGTAACCCGCCTGTAGTGTACACTGTTACAGTCTGCCTGTGTACACTGTGTGCGATCTGTCCCACTCCACGGTACACGGAACATTTGCCCAGACTGTGCCGCCGCACGTTTCCCGGTGTCCGGTGCACTCTGAAGGCTGTTAACCTACATACGGTACACTTCTGTCAACAGTGTTATAGTAACGTGCTTGGTCTACTAGTTAGCGATCCTGCTTCTGGATCTTAAGTTCGGAGCCAACCCGACATGCATGCTTCTGGAAAGGGTCGCAGTCCTTAGGGCGGGACGTTAAGCCGTGGTCCACTGTTCATTGTGATTGTCAAAAAGAGATAGGGAAATTTCCCTGGTACAACGAACTTGTAAAAAAAACTGTACAAATACTGTCATAACAAGTGGAAGAGTAGCTCAACTGTTTATTGAGTTAAACTTGTTCGTGATCTCCTTTCTGTGGGTGATCCAGATTTCTGTTTTGTCTGCTTTTTCGCCACTTTGTCATATTGGCGCACAAAATCCGTAGTGTGTTTTTGGCACACAGTTAGACAGGTGGGGAAGTCGTGTTAAGTGCCTTTCCCAAGGGCACAACGTCGTGACACGGTGAGTATCGAACCCGGGACCTGTTGGTTCCGAGTCCAACGCTCTAACCGCTGCGCCACCGACGCCATACCAGCGATTACATGTAGGTAATTTGTTACTCAGCTCGGGATCACCTAAACCAAATTATTACTTTCTATTGATAACCATCCAAACGACTTCCGTTGCTATGGTGTCGTCTGGTTCACGTGTAAAGCATCGCTGATTTTCTTTTAAACGCGAAGTTCAACCACTTAACTCAAGAAACTCAAGTAGTAAAACATATCGCACTTGAACCCGTCAGAGATGTTGAATAGAAAAGCACGAAGGGAGAGACTAAATACTACTTACTACGTGATGTGGGGCACGGGAAAAGCAATTCTTTGTTTCAAGTCAAAGAAACAAGAGACAGACTAACAGGTGTCTTGTAAGTTTACAGTGGTGAGACGAATGCGCACTAAGCTACAAGGTGAGCCAGTAAGGTTTCCGGTAACTTAAATCGCTGCTGTTCATTTAGAAGTGCAGACGTTTCGCAAATATGAGCTCAAAATCAAGTTAAAGTTGAAGTACACTTCAAGTAGAGCCAAGCCCGTCTACAGTTGGAGCTTACCACTCCGTCCAAAGGTTGGGGGTCCAGGTAGCCTCCACCAGGCTTCAGATGTGGCTGGAAAGAGTAGAAATTGTCCAAATAGACAGATAACATGCCAGGGGAGGTGGTCTGCTAAATGAGCACAATTCAGAGGGGCAAAGTTTACTCCTTTAGCGGAGAAAATCCCCCAGTATTTATCTGTCTATTTGGACAATTTCTACTCTTTCCAGCCGCTTCCCGAAGCCTGTTAGAGGCTAGTTCCCGGCCCCTGCCCCAGTGTTGTTGTAAGTTGACTCTGTCACGCGCGGTTTGTCCTGACTCCATACCGGGACTCCCAAAGTCAGAGCTGTGATAACATCACACAATAGCGCACAGAAAAGGGCCGCTATGTTTACCTAATCTCCAAGTAAGTATTTCGGTAGCCTCCACAGCATGCCAAAAAACTTGGGGTTTTGTGGGTCTTCAGGGTCTTTGGGAGCTTTTATGTGCTATTTGCTGATTGCATATAGACAACATTGCAGGCGTGGTTGAATTACCCCCGTTTTTGAGAACTGGGCTAATCAGAAAACAGCCGAAGACCACCAAACCCCCAGTTCTATAAGCCTGCTACGGAGGCTAGTATTTCGGTGTCTGTAAAATTAAAAGACAGTTCCAAATTGGCAAAGCTACATCCATTTGCCAGGCAGTATCTATTTGCCACC